TCATCAACAGTGCTCATCCATGAGTTCAGTAATAGACAACAATCTCCATAACTGTACTTGAAAAATCGTACAATATGTTCACTAGTGACTAGATTTGTGAACTAATTCTCGGAGTTCCAGTGGGAAGATGACCAGTGGCGCTCAACTCTTTCGGGTGTAAGCGGTAGCTACCGAAGGTTGCTCTAATCAGAGTTAGACATTAACCCCGTTCGAGTTCGCGTTCGTGTGCAACACCGGGGCAAGAGTCGTGGATGCGCACTGCTGATGAGTCCCATACCAGGATGAAACGACCGTTCAGTGCTCCCAGGTTTCTAATCGTGACCTAACAATGGCTGATTCAATATTTCTGTATTAAACAACAATCTGCATAACCCTAATGAAAAATTAAATGCAACTATTTTTTTTCGATAAGAAAAAAAATCAAAATCAAACATTTTAATAATTATGTTGTTTAGGGTATATTTGGTTATTTGATAGAAATAATAAACCGTCATCATAAATCTACTAATTGCTCTTCACTTGAAACATGCAGAAATTTGCTTTTTTTTAAAATGCTTTTTATTGCAATTATTGTTCACATGATGATTTCTATTCTTATCAAAACGAGAAAGCATCACAATCATCATAAACTATTTTTTCATATGTGCTTGTTTTATTGTTGATGTTGTGGTTAAATTAAGTAGTATTTTAATTCTATATTCATATCACAATAAAGATTAGTTAGTATTTCAATGAAAATCATATTGCTGTCTTGTTAACTTTTCTTAACAGTATGAAGTCAATGTTCGCTTTAAAATGTTCGTATGATGAAGATTTCTTCTGATGTGAAGTTTGTTAATAAAACAAACAGATATAAGTAGTCAATTTATCCAAATGTTTCCTATTATGAGTTAATAGTTTTACAACTTCTGTTAATATAATAGCAGCTATTATAAGGATTCGTTGTAGAATCGAAGAGTTGTATTTCATCAAGCGAATATGCCAATGTTGATATTCACATTGAGACTGGAATCTGGTATCTATAATTTCAAACATTTTAGAGTTATTTATTATAAGGCTGTTGAATCTCGTTAGTTTCTCATTTAATTGAAGCTATTGAGTCATATGGCTTGAAATCGGTCACAGTAGCGCAGTGAAGTTTGATTATCAATCTTCCTTTAAGTCTGAGTTAAGTATCATTCTCAACAATCAATTCTTTGTTCTTCAGAAGCTAAATTTGTTATGTTAATGCTTTTATGACTTTGGATTTTATTCTGCCTTCTACACTTTTCATTCTATTGATTTTCTCTCATGATGTTTACATTATGAAGTGTGTGGTATCGTGGATCGATGCACACTCTGGTCACATTCCATGTTGATATTGGTTGACAAATTGAGTAACTTGTTTAATTTACATATGATATAAACTGTTAGTTGTAAAAGTTTATAATTTTTGTTGCTGTTTATTTTCAAAATTGAATTTAACTAAGAGTAATAATTGCGTGAAAGATTGTAGTGAACATATTAGTATACTTCTATATCACTTTATACAGGATTATCTGTAAATGAATGTTTTAATTCATATGAGAAGAATCAATCATTGTCTCTTCATATTGTTTCAAGTGTTTTTATTTCAGTGAGTTTAGATCATAACTCACTTGCATGAAACTCAAACTCATCCGTTCATGCAACCTACTACAATTCATAATGAGACTGTCTGATTGAGTTGATGAACGTGAAGCTGTTGGAATATGAACTTTTTTCTGTCGGGGGTTTAATCAATCCACAAAACGTAAACAATTACATAGTTATCCTCTCAAAACAATATCTAACTAACTTAGAAGAATACCTCCTCCAAAAGGCATTGAACTACATTACGAGTGACGCTTCAAAACCTGGATTCTTCGTTGCACTAGATTCATCAATCGAAACGGCTGGAATAAACGATGAAACTCAACAGGAAAAACGACAAACTATGGTGTCATTAACTCGACGGGGGAGAGACAACACCAAAACTAACAGCACAAGAAAGAAAAGCTAAGGAACTACTTGAGGATAGAAGTGTTTATAAACTAGTGGACACAGATCCATTCAAAAGGTTATACAACAAAATCTCACGTATTTTAAACAAGCTTGTCAAAGCAGGACAAATATCAAAACAAAATCAATGGAGAATGAAATTCATCGGACCAGTTTTGCCTCAATTACACAGTAGGCCGATAGATACTACACAAACTCAACATTCCACTTCATACATCGTATCCATCCCTGGAACTCCAACACACAAGACAAATTTCAAGAATATTCAAACATTTAGTGTATTTATCCGATCGCTCCATCAACCCCCCCCATACATTTCTCACCCAGATTAACAAAAAAAACTATCCGTGCTCGTGTCTAACGACAAGAATCTCCTAACGGATTCGAAACTTCAAAGTAAAAGACAACTAGTATTCATCGATTTAAGCTTAACAACGTATTTGCAGTTTAACAAAATCTATGTACATGCGAAAGGAATCCCAATGGAATCAGTAATATTAGGAATTATTGCAGAAGCAGTGATGCATAGACTAGAAGCCTTGATTTTACTATTGACCAAGCCATAATGTGGGTCCTTTATGTAGATGACATATTCGTCATCATCAAAAGGAACGAGCTAGAGAATACGTCCAATCTGATTAACAACATATTTGATGACATGAAATGCACAATAGAAAGGGAGTGAAACAACAAATTATCATTCTTGGTTGTATTAATTACCACAACTGACACAGGAAAAATGGATGCTCATATATATTGATATAAGTCTATCAAATCACAATTTTGTTTTATCATAATTGCTGAAAATTAATTGCAGTTATTCGTTCAAGTGTTTTTAGAACGCACGGTAAGTTGTCTAGTTACACACACCTTATCTACGTATAGATCTTATTTAATGGGAAAAAACCAATAAGTCATATTCACTGTACGATGAGGCACAAAAATGTATCGCTACATCTCATATCGTCACAGAAAGAAAGGAAACCAACAAAATGTAGAGCGATGGATAAGGGTTAATTTTAATTGCAACAGAAACTAAAATCGGTAAAATGTAGTCTAAACGAAGCAGATTAAATCTAAGAATGACAAGTTAATAATGAGGGAGATACGGAATAAACGCAACTGGACTAGTTCAGTCGTTGTTGGCTCGCATTACCCAGTGTCCCCATTCATTAACTGCAACTGTGGGATAGGATCAAGTCAGAAAGTTTGTACTTATCTTCGCCAATGGTTTCATCGACTGATAGACTGTCTTAGTCTGCTCAATTCCAAACAGATGATACTCACACAACATCCATTTCTTATCATGGTCATATTTCAAACTTAGTATGATTATTCATTTTCCTGTTACACCCCTTTACTTTTCGTTACATTAATTTCTCATTATTTTCATCGTGATTGGTATATATTGCGCTTAATTTTTTCTCGACAGTATTGAGTTCTCCTAGCTAGATGGTTTAATCGCAGAGCTGCATGCTACGATGACCTTGTTCATGTTCATGGCGGATTAACAAAATATATTACTCTATATGTATATATCCATTCGATATCAGGTAGAGGAAAATGTGAACAAATGAGGAATCTTTTCCACTGTCCTCATTTAAAAATTCTAAAGATGGTAGTTTGTGTACATGGTGTTTATAGTGAATAAGTATTGATGTGCTTTGTAACGTGTCTAAAAAATTACAGTGTAGTTGTAGTTCACCGACAGTAACTACACAGAAACTAGATAAATCTGTATCACCTACCTGATTCACACAACCGAAATAGACAGTCGGAGTAAGTGACAGACAATAATCTGATCCCGCACAATTACAGGCATTCATTCTCATTGAGTCCAGAGTAGAAATTACTGAGAGGAAAGGATATCACATGTTTATTAGTAAGCAGAATAAATGCCTATGGGTCCACACTCTGATAGAAAATATTCATATAAGTTAAGATGATCAATTTCGAGTGCATATTCTAGCTCATTCATTCAGTCCAATGAAATTTTAGGCGACCTGACTTCTGTATCGCATCCTAAAGCTTCTCATAAAATGGCGTTTCAAAAAACATCGTCGATGAAGTCGGTCCAATATTCTAGAATACAGTGTAAATTCACTACATTCAAGCAGAGGTTCATTCATTCGACATCATATTACTAGTCTGTGCCATAGATCCTAATGGGTTCATACCTGGATCTACTTTACAATGTAGAGTTTTCAAGGCTTGGTAGTATACAACTAGAGATATGTGCAAAAACAGCTTGTTGGATCTTATCCATTACTCTCTCTCTAATTTCATCGAATTCCCGTCATAAGTTTACAAAAATGTTTTTATTTAATAATCATAATAATAATTATTATTATAAAATATGTTTTCAGTGAGAATCCTTCATGATTAATCCTAGTACGCACTGTGTTATTTCAGCGTTAGGATCGTTCACATTTACGTTTCATCCGCTTAACGTCACGATTTTAAATTTCTCATTCTCGATCACTATTTGCTGAAAACCATAATTCACTAGTTTAATATTCGAATAGACATCAGTTATTTATTGATTTATCATTTGATACATATTTATGGTTTTTATATGGTACATTTTAGAAAATAAGAAACGGCAGAATAAAGCACTAATAAAATGATCGCACTTCAAAGTAGTACAAACAGTTAAAGTGACTGAATTCAAAATAAAAAATTACAAAAACGTTTAAATCTATCAAAAGAATAAAACGTAACAAAGGCGAATGAACCTGTGAAATTATTTCCCCTGATGATCTTTAATCCTACAGACACATGATTCAAAAAAACCTGAGTGCTCCGAAAAAGTGCGGCATTCAAAATCTGACGATTTCAAAATTTACAGGAATACTGTTTAATTTAATTAGCAAACAAAACGTTATTTAGTAAAATAAGAGCATAAAACTAATTTCAAATGAAGGAAATACAATTTTTCTAAGTGATGGATTTTTCGGTTCTTACATGCTTTATCATTCATTCTATAACACAGACATGGATTCAATTGATAGATTGTCTGAAATACAAATTGAATTTGTATTTAACATGTCATGTTCTTCGTCTACTTCGTCCTCATAGACGCCAATGTCATTTCCCACTTTTTCATCATAAGATGTCTTTAAACATAAATGTGGTAATTTGATTTGCGGTGATTTCTTCGGTTTCATTGGTAAAGGCAACAGACATGATGACATGATTGGAATGAACCATTGAACTATTGAATTGAATTTATTCTTTTCATCATAAATCAATGAGCATAAGAATTTATGATAATTGTCCAAATCTTTACTATCCATTCCATTGATCATGTAAGGCGGTATATGTTTGTTGAAATTATTTTGTTTCTTGAAATTTGTTATATTTTCTTGTAATCTTTCAATTTCTGCAAGTCTTTGTTTTAACGTTTCTTTAAGAGGTTGATATTTATCAAATGGTAGAATATTACATTCTTTTAGTTTTATGTGTATTTTCGGTGGGAAATGTCCTGTTAGTGCATTTTTATAAGATTTCCATGGTTGTGCATATGCAGGTTGAGTTGGATCACGTAAGCTTTGACTTTTCATAATATCTACATATTTTGTTTGTTGTGCATTATTCATCCATGGCTGTAGAAGGTTCTTTGTTTTCTGTTAGATAAAAAAAAGGATAGTTTCATAAACGAGATTTAAGCACAAAAAAATAACTTATCTCAGTCATACTATTCTTTTCAATTGTGGTGAATAATGTCCAAGTCTAGTTAGTATTGTTGAAAATGGACGAAATATCGATTTTAATGAATAGGTGGCCAAATGGTCACATGATTATCAAACAATCAATGCCTATTGGTGTCGGTGAACTGAATGGATAACACAGTGAGTCACCCTTATTAGTAAACATAAAAAAGTTTGAGGAATTTATACATCTCTGGATTTTATTCTTTTGAAAGTTGAACTATATAACTCCGGTTTGTATTATAGTTAGTACCATCAGTTTTAAATTATCTGTGTCAAAAATTTTAAGTAACACAGTCGACAAATTTGCAAATCATTTGATTGGCTAATTCCAATATTATTCGGTTTCCTTTGAATAATCATAGAAAACTAAAAGGTTTCCAGAGAGAAGTATAATTCTATTTTGTGAACTTTTCAGGTAATTCCACCTTTATTCAATAATAAAATTGTTTCTAAGAATTACAGATATCTTGATTAGCCTGTGACTGGTGAATAGTTTATTCGGAAGTCAATGACTTAGAGTTCTTTTTTACACATTTGAAATCATCAATCAATCATTGTTAGACCACCATTAGAAACCTGGAAGCACTGGACTTAGAGTTCGTTATTTCATCTGATCTAAAACCTAATAGCTCTGTCTTCCTTAAGTATAAGATGTCACCTGATTTTCATTTTCGCCTAAATGTTCCAACAGGCAAGAGTGTTTCTCAATGGCACTTGAGAAATTCTCTATTCACAGCTAATAAACAAACGTCAACTAAAGTTACAAGTTCCGGGAAGTTGAGTGATTGGTTGATTGATTGATTTAACAAAAGTTTTTATCTGATAAAAGACATAATTCGAATGACCAGTGTTTGTTTCTCATTGAAAACAGTTGACATTATTCACTGTAGAATGTTGAAAAAATTCAATGACATATGATTTGATTCACTCTTCAAATGAGGTGACTACATTATAAATCATAATGTACCATCAGTTGTTAAATAAACAGACTTTCTTTTGGATGTCATTTTATTTATTTTCTCTTTCTGTGTAAAAAGTTTTGGGATTTGACAGAACACAGAGAGTAAATGCACCTGCGCCATTGCAAACGGTTTTGAGCCATGTCATTCAGGTTCGCAAACCATCGATTACTAACATCTCGCGGACTCCAAGCAGGTAGTCGACACCTGCCGACATGACTCAGTTCACTTTTCAATGACTTGTATCCAACTTGCATTTATTTTATGATTAACGTCACATACTAACTAATCCTTGTTGGACAACCAATAAATTTCAGGAAGTATTAGGCAACTGTTTCATTCCAATATGGGACTCCTCTATTGTACACATCTGATATGACAGGGTTTTTGCACAGCATGACTTTAATTTTCAATTCAGTATGATAATTACTCAGTGTAATATTTTTTTTCAGTATGATATTTATTCAAAATGATAGTACTCGCATTAAATTCAGTGTGAAATTCATTCAGCAAGATATGTAGGTTAGGTTTTTGTAGAAATTCTGTGTAATTTTTCCATGTATGTGATAATTGTTAACTAATGATCAATTGTAAGTACAACCATAAATACAACATAAGTGGATGGATTTACTGGTCATATTGATTTATCTCGTTACTCTTTCATAATGTTTGGTATTCGAAAAAATAGTATGTAAGATTTTTAATTTAATCTAAATAAATTATACGTAATATGCTTATATTGGAAGATATCTTATTGGCTTCAATACTTCACAGACATGAAGAATCAGTAGTAGCGTTTACTCGTACTTGAAGCTTCAAGATATATGATTCCATAGGAATCATTCTGCAACAGTTATTATATTCCTGTTGTCAATGATGAGAGCTTCTCGATTCTCTCAACTATATCTCACAATAAGGCTAATATTTGTCAACTTTCACTAGCAGCCTTGTTTGAATATCTGAGCTATCTGTTTCCTAACATCAGAATATTTGAACAATTTTACCTCTTTCTGTTTGTTTCAACACATAAATTATATCTGTCATTAACATAATCTAAACATGGGCGCTTATTAAGAAGTTTATGAGCTATCACTTCATAAAGTATGAAAAAGTACTACAGTTTGAAAAATCTCAGTGGTTGTGACAATCTGCTGAGAATACAATGAACGTTAACAGGATGTCGATTCCTGAAATCAATGGTTCCAATTGCCGATCATAAATGGTTTTATTAAAGAAACTTGCTGAATTATTCTATGCTGGGAATTCCATACTGCATTGAACATATGATATTAAATAAAGGTATTTTAAAACGAAACGGGATAATTGTAAAACATTTCCAACTTTTTTTAGGTATGAAAAGATTGATCAAGAGTATGAATAAAATTTTCAAATAAATCGAAAGTATGTGAAAAATTTAGGATAATTACTTACTAAGTGGTCAGCTCTTTCAGATTAAACAAAGAAAGCTAACATGTTTTATGACACGAGAAAAATTTCAAGAAAAATATATATACAACTATCAGTCTTCTCATCAAACAGCAATACTGACAAAAATGTCTTTGAATTCATGAGTCAAACAATGTTAGACCAACAATGAGAACTGTAGAAGTACTGAACGAACATCTTGTCCTAGGATGGGCCCCTTTTATCTGAGCGTACCTATGTCTACGGTGGAGAACTGCCCCACACCCAACACGGTTGATTGTGTATTACTGATGAGCCTCTTACTAAAACTAAACGGCTATCCAGGTGCTTCCAAGTTTTAAATGGTGGTCTAAAACTGACCGATTCATCATGATTTCAATGAAATTCAACAATCTCCAGAACTCTTATGGTTATAACTAAACTAACTAGCATAATTCATGATACATTAAATTAAATAAAAACTCTTGATTAAAAGAGACATTTTCATATTAGTAAGGCATAAAATGAATCTTTTTTTAATCATTCATACTGATGTGAGGCATTTTGCATGATTATGCATTAGTCATCAATTTTATGTGAAAAATAATTAAGATCAATCAATTAACTAAAAATATCACTGCATGAATTCACCCTTTTTGATTGAATGATGATAACAGCTAGTTTTATTTTTTTTTAAATTTAAATTTTATACACACACATTTATTCACTTCGAAAAGTGCTGTCAAATCATATGTAGAAGTTGACGCATTTATTAATTAATTACACCGCCTAAATTTATTGATGGATACCTAGATTTTCAATGTACAATATATATGTATGTTAAAGTTTTGAAGAAAAATACTTTGTTTAACGTCTCACAACCATTTACGTGATTGACATCTTAAAGATCTAAATAAGGTAACAACAACAACAACAAGAACAACTACAGAGTGACAACTAACTTATTTTGCTAGTGTGCATGTTTTTATAATGATTGGAATTCGTAAAATCTTTGTTAAACGTAATCTAAAGCTTGTTTTTACATGCAAAGGACTAGTTTGTAAGTTTTCAACTATATTCACACAAATGTTGATATCATTCACTAACAAATTGGTTTGTAGACAGATTGAAATCAGTAAAGAAAAAAACTTCAAAAGTATACTATCTTGGTATCGTATTGTACAGATCAAACGAGAAATAATAATCTTGATAAATATTACCTTTCAACTGAAAGAAGCTACTTACATTCTATTTGACTTTATTAATGTTATTATTATCAATACAATTATTGGTACAAAGGGGTAACTAATTATTACTCCTGCAACACATAAGTCAATTCATTTTTATTTTAACTAAAGCAGTTCTACTGTATGGAGTGGAAACTTGGAGAACTACAAAATCCATCATCCAAAAGATGCAAGTGTTTATTAACAGTTGTCTACGCAAAATACTTCGGATTCGTTGACCAGACACCATCAGCAACAACGTACTGTGGGGGAGAACAAACCAGATTACAGTGGAGGAGGAAATCAGGAAGAAGCGGTGGAAGTGGATAGGACACACACTACGAAAAGCACCGAACTGCGTCACAAGATAAGCCCTCACTTGGAACCCTCAAGGCAAAAGGAAAAGTGGAACGCTAAGGAACACATTACGCCGGGAAATAGAGAGAGATATGAGAAGAATGAACAAAAATTGGACAGAACTGTAAAGGGAAGCCCAGGACAGATTTGGTTCGAGAAAACTGGTCGGTGGCCTATGCTCCACTGGGGGTAACAGGCGTAAGTAAGTTAGTTACTTTTCTTGGAAAGCCACTCACCAAGCCTTTGAACTAGCGATCTACGGCACAAGGTAGTAGGGCAACATCAGCAAATGCAATACCATGGCTGACAGTAGTCAACAACAAGTTCATACACAACTCGTTACCTCAGAATCCTGGGGCCCATTCTGCACCATTGGTTTGGAATCTGGACTTCCCAACTACCTTAGGTAAATCTTGCGTACCTATCAACCAGGTTTGAGACCTGCTAGAGATTTGCTTTTTAGTCCGTAAATAATACCCCACACACGAGAAAGTGGTGAGTAGGACTTCTCTTGAAGTGGCTGTACACGTGGTCATATTAGAGCATTTGGCTAAGGCGAATGAACTCTCCCCCCTTCAGCCACATATAGGTCATTTAGGAGGACTTATTAATGTGCACAATGATAACACCAAATTATCACGTTGAAAAGAGGCTACACTGATAAATTTCTGGTGTACACTTTCAATTTAACGATTTAGTTCGCAGATGAATAATACAGAAATACACTAATTAGTATTCTTTATATCATCAGTGAACTATCCATTTTTAAAAATTCAACAAAAACCATCCGTAAATCAACTTCCACTTGAATCGAAATTGAATTAAGGATTTTATTTTCCCAGTGAGCAGTTAAATTGAAGGAATGATCGTTCAAATTTACTAATTAGTTTACAGAAACCTACATGAAAGATATAATCTAATAAGTGGATGAAACGCTTTTACAGCACAAATATGTAATATGTATAGTGTTATGAGTAAAAAAACAAAGACTGAAGAATTTCGATGAAAAATCAAGAAATCATGTATGGATCATTGTTAGACCACCATTAGAAATCTGGAAGCGCTGAACGCCCTTGTCTTTCTGATATAGGACTCATCAGCAGTGCGTAGACACGACTCCTGCTACCTACAGTATTCAAACCCAGGACCTTCGGTCATGTGCGCGATCACATAACCTCCAGACTACTGAGTCAGCATCAAACGGTGTTAATGTCTAACTCTGATCAATCTAAGGATTTTGCGCAACCTCATCCATTGTCTTCGGTACTTACTGCCTACACCCAACCGAGGTGAACAACTCCACTGGTCACATCTCACTAGGAGATCGAGAATTCGGATGTGCACTACTAGATAGTCCCATATCAGAACGAAACGGCCGTCCAATGCTTCCAGGTTTCTAATGATAGTCTAACAATGAGTCATTCATGATTTCAGTATAAAAAAATTGATCTTCATAGTTCTACGATGCAAGAAAAATCAAGGACCATGAATATTTATAGATTGAAATCTGAAAGTTGAAACCATTCTGGAATGAATATCAATGAAAATTAGATTGAACAACGACACTGGCAGGGATATCCTTCCGAAAAATTGTTAATATTCATCTATACATGAAACCACTTACATTGCCAACCTTTGTTGAATTTTCAAACATTTTCAACATGTAAATGACAAGCTAGTACATTGATTCATATCCATTTTATTATTCCTAAGTTTGATTGCTACTGAGAAATTGAATTCATGGTATCACAGATACTCTTTTGTAAAATCAATTTGAGAACTAAGTCTTTTTCACTTGGCTATAAGCAAACTTAAATTTATATGAGTAAATTTACTTGAATACCTTAAATTCCATTCATTTAAGATCCAAAATGATCAAATCATTGAAACGAAGTTAGAATGAAGCATTTGTGTTTTAACCAAATTAATTAACAATTCAATAGTGTAGTGTAACAGACTTGCCTAAGATGTCAACGTTGTATATTAATTATATAATATTTTTAATTTATATTTCCATTATCTGATTTGAAGTTAAGATTATACAGTGGGAAGTTAAGATTTACTGACAAATAAATTTTGAAATATACTACTTTATTCTTCAATTGATGGAAGTGACTCATTTAAAATTACCTCAACACTAGACAACTGTAAATTCATTAGGAAATAATGTTTTATCAACACTCAACTTTCAAATAATCACCAGTCAGAAATTGTATATCGTCCAAGTAAAGCTTTGAAATCGTAGTTAAAACACTTCAATAACAATTCATAAGTCTAAGTTCAAACTTCACTTCAATTAACTTGATTCGGATAGCCTTTAAATCGAAAAAAACTCAGTAATATAAACTTGAACATTGATAGATTGGTTACATCAAGCAATTAAAAGCATAAGTCCTGTGTATACAACAAATAAAATACACTATGTCGACACTAACAAACAGTTACTTACACAATATTTACGTCGTTCAGTGACATATGATTCACCTAAACGTACAACACATCTTTCTAATTCATTCAACGGCGGTAAAAGCATCACCATTTTATGCTGTCGACTATTATCCGCACTAACTTGTTTCATTGGCATAATAGTTTCTTTTTTCACTTCGCTGATGTTTTGTTTTAGTTTATCCATTTGTAATTGTTCCAGCTTGGCTTGTTCACGTAATTTCAATAATCTTTGTTCATGACACCAGTTAACAAATGCATTCAATGCTTGTATACCGTCATTTCGAATAAATTCATCGTGATAATAATCATCTTCTGACCATTTCACTTGTTTTTTCATTGATTTACTTTTGATTGTGGAATCAGTTATTGTAGGCAAAATATTGTTTATTGGATTTTCAAGTTTAGAAGATTGATGCTAGATAAAATTAAATGCCAAAAACCGGCATTCATAATTGATTTGAAATATAATGTGAAATTATGAAATGAAGTGAATAGCTAGAAATAAACATTTTATCGATTATTGTAAAAATGCCATGAACTAGATACTTTTAGACAGTCATTGTAACATTAGACAATCGCCTCGTGTGTAAATCAAGTGGTGAGTTATTACCTTCAATTTACTGTTAATTTGTGTCCAATTTATGTGCTGCAGTAATTTAAAGCGTTATTGATTAGCGGAGGAAAAACAAACACCCTGTATGAAATATTAACTGATGTAGAATAACTGTTGATAAGTAAGTACTCCGGTCCCCATCATAATTCAGAAGCTAGGTGGAATACACACTGACGTTTTTAAAAAGACATATAGTTGTTTCGGAATATGAATGTTAACATTAAAACATAGGTTTATTCAACTGGTGAGCGCTAAATGGGATCCTAATGTTAATCATAATTCTTTGTTGAATTTTATAACCATTATAAACTGTTATTAATCATCTATAAATTATAAGAAATTGATACACAGTGGTGTTATGTTTTGTTGCTAAAGATTTTCAAGAAAATGAAAAAGTTACTTAGTGCGAATAGTTGTTCATAGATCAGACATTTGCTTGTTAAGTTGTAGGAAAAATGAGAGAGAATAAATCGGATTCCAGATGAAGAAAACTCTGGGAAATAGCACTGGAGGTGGATAGGACGTATTGCAGAAAGCATCCAACCATATCACAAGGCAAGCCCTCAACTGAAACCCTAAAGGTCAAGGGAGAAGAGGAAGACAGAGGAACACACTGGACCGACAATTGGAGACGGACACGAAAAGCACGAATAGCAATTGGGAGCAAACGGAAAAGAGAACTGAGGATAGAGTTGGTTGGAGAATCCCGGTCGACGGCCTATGTTTCATCAGAGATAACAGGCGTAAGTAAGTAAGTAAGGCAAAATAATAAATAAAATAATCATAAAGATGAAATGAATTTACTTCAACTAACTTTACTGTATATCACTTCAAAACCATGAAACTCAATACAAATACACTAAAAAACAAGTCAGTGTAACAGGTTTTATTCACTTTTTATGAATAATTTGTTGGGAAATTATCAATCAGGTAACTGCATAAGTAGTTTTGAGTGAATGGAATTACGCCTTTTACTTCTAATGAAGCATAGGCCACCACCCAGCATTCTCCTGCCTTCTCTATCTTGGGTCGTATTTTCCAGCTCTACCCAACCGCTGTTCATGCCCTTCATGTGTGTTTACAATTTTCGATGCAATTTCTTCTTTGGTCAATCCTCTCTTCATTTAGCCTTGAGGATTCCAAGTTAGGGCGTTCCTTGTGATGCCGTTAGGTGGTTCCCGCAATATGTGTCCATCCTATCCACCTCCGGCAATTTGCCCTAACTTCTTCCTCATCTGAAATCTGGTTTGTTCTCCTTCAAAGTAGGTTATTACTGATTATGTCCGGCAAACGGATTCACAGTAACCTGCGTAGGCAGCTGTCAGCAAATACTATACCTTTTGGATAATGGCTTTGTATTTCTCCAAGTTTCCGCTCCATACCATTGAACTGTCTTGACGTTCATATTGAAAATTCTGACTTCAGTGTTAGTGACTTGAAATATAGTGAAATAATATATTCTACGCAAAAAAAACCTACTCAATTATCCAATAGCAACTTGAATTAATATGTACACATGTACCAAATTTTAATATTACATTTGACTAATTGATTTATGAATCTATTTTAAATAAGTTAGACAATTAAACCACTCGTATATTGAACTAAACCTAAGCGTACTAACAAATCAATGGAAGTTTATGTTGGTACAGTGTTAGATTGTGTGATTCAGTTTTATTTCTCAGTTAAGTAAAATAACACTAATCTATGTAATTTATTAAAGTAGTTTATTGTTCAAAGACATGCTTGATAGTAAAGTATTCTAAATGTCGACTGGAGGATAGATATTTGTAAAAATTTAATATCACAGGAAAGATTTTATTTAAAGGCACTGTCTAATTATGTACGCACTTCTTATTATAATGCTGTGTGATGATTATTTTAAGTCGATTTATCCACATTTGTCCAACTACATTCAATGTTGAACTATTGACAAAATAAACTTTTGTTATGGTATTTTATTATACTAACTACTATCTAACTTGTACTTTTAGCTATAATATGTAGTGACGTAATCGATTTCATTTCATTGTGATTATCGACCCATAAATTGCCTTGATTAGTTTAACATTTTCATTTCAATATTCATGTATATTAGAGTACAGACTGATGACGATCCAATCGAAAACAATATTGTTCGCTTATATGTATTGGTTTCAATTTATAATTTAACTTCAACTAACGCAGAAATATTTACTTTAGGGATAATGGAATATGTATGTAGGCAATATGTAACCACAAGATTTGAATATGTACCGATATAAAAAATTATTTTGATTTAAATTAAGAATATGGTTGTATAAATTAAGTGTTTAACGGACAACTAATCAGTGATGTTCCTTAGGGGCTTACTTTAAATGACTTTTAAAACAAAAACATGACACTGATCAGCCGATATCAAAAACCATTCAACCACTTAATGAATTATCGATTAGGGTATGAGTTAAACCAAACATGAGAAATCTATGCTTCAACGCAGTCAATCGAATTTCAACTAACTAACCTTCGATACTTCTGTTTCATTACTTTGCTTCGACCAATTCTCAAGCCATACAGATAAGATTTTGTAAAATTTAAGCCAACAATTTAATGTCTTAGCATTTTTCACTAGATGACTACAATCATGTAAGTGAATAATTTTTTTCGGTGGATTAATTCTCATATTTTTGTCGATATTTTTAAGTTTTCTTAACTCTTCTTCAAGATAATTGTAATGTTTAATTTGAAATCCAAGTGATTGTAATGATTGCTGAATAAATTGGATTAAATTCACATTTTTAACTTCATCTGGATATTGTGGATCATCGTTTTCACGACACAGAAGTACTTTCACATATAACATTAATAAGATAACCACTGTGTCAATATCATGAAAACCAAGTGTAATCAACAGTGTGGCGACTGCTTGTAACATTTTCCATCCTTTAAATTCTATTGATTTCCCTAGTTCATTTATTATGCATCCAGTCAAGCAGTGATGTAATTCACGAATGTATTCCATAGATAATTGATAATCTGTAGAGAGTGCTTTAAAATCTGTACAAAATTGTGAAATAGTTTGACAAAGATACAGGTCTTCATCTTCCTTACATGGTGGAATTTCTTGTGAGCATATTTTTGGCATGACATTTGTCCACAATAGCCATTGAATAAAACAGTCAACATTAGAACCTGCATTAAAGTCAGACCAACCTTCCGGTTCTTGATCATTTAATAATCCAAGAATAGGTAACCATCTAGAGTTTTGAAAACTTAGCAAAAACTCTGGTAGCAAAAATAGGTCAATCTTGTCTGTATCAATGAATTCTGTCAAGAAAATAGTATTTTCTCGTTCATATTTTGGACGACCAAGTGCTTGCCTTTCAATTAAATCAGACAGTAAATCTGTTTCCTTCGAATAAGATTGCTTAAGATCATTTTTAATCATTGATTTATGTTTCACTGACGGTAGTGTTGAATTTTCAACTGTAGACATTTGAATTTGTTCCAATTCAGTGTTTATCTCATTTTGTAAAGTTGATAAACTAACTGAATGATCCATTGATTGATTCATATCCAAAAATTTACTGGCAAGCAACTTTTCATCGACATTCCCATCTATTAAATCTCCTTCACTCATCTCTTTACTGATCGTTGTTAATTCTTTGTCGGATTCTATTATCCAACTTGTACTAGAGTCAGAAGTTAGAGTGCTTTCCAATAGTGTGTGAATACCTGATCTAGCTAATTGTGCTTCAATATCAGCCCATTTGGCGTGATTCATGCTCGTTTTACCATCTACCGCTGATGATTGAGTTATTCTTGAGTAATATTTACCAAGAAGTAACGAATTAGGCGCCCAACCATATTTTAAACGCCCACTTTCATGCAAAATAATCTTTGGAAAAAATCCATTTGCTCTATGACTAGGCAATACATCCAACTCTTTATTATCAGCAATTATTGGCAATTCGATAGACTGTTGTGGTTTTACCGGAGAGACTTTTTCACTACTATGTTGTGGTAATTTTTGCTTCTTATCAGTTTTACGGTGTTTTAATGATTTGTGTTTTTTTGCTTTCACTGGTTTCTTTTTGATTAATGCTTCAAGTTGAATTTGTGAACAAGTTTGTTCCATAATTGACAACTTTTCTTTTAATAATGTGATTTCATCATCCTCTTCAATGTTCAATTCTTTCGAGTAAGGGGTTATGTTTAAATATTGTCTAGATAATATCTTTTCATAGTAATTGTTAAAAGCAATTCGTTTAGCTTCTTGCATTGAAGCATAATCAATATGAGGACGACGTTTTGATTGGGTTTTTGACAATTCAGTTTTTGACATTTCCTTCAAATCGATATCTCTTTCTTTGAGTTTAGTTAGAATTTGCGCCTTTTTAAATAAATTCTTTGTGGCTTTTTGTTCTTCCAGTGAAAAGTTTACTGACTGACGAATGTCACAAACCTGTTCAAAGTTTAGAAAAATATACACAGCATCTTATTCTTATGTATAAAACTAGAAATTAAGTAATAAATGAAACAGTTAATTTGTAAATTGAAATAAGTTTTTAAAATAGAATGATGTCGATAGCCGGAAGTAAGCAAACATTATTTCATTTGTTCTTCAGCATATCACTTTTGATGATCAGAAGATTGTCGTAAATGTAACTCAATCAGATACTTCTAGAGTAAAACCATAAGTTAGTATGACTAGGAATATATTATTAAAAACAGAAAGATCATTTAATATGTTAGAATTTTAAGTAACTGCCAGCTTTTTCTAATCGTACATTGAAATTCTTCAATAAATCTTTCTATTTATTTCAGTGAGAAACTACGACCATTCAGTCTTTCAAAAATGATTGCTAGTAAAGTGTGACGAAAAAAACAGATTTATTTGTAAACAGTTAAAAGAACAATGAAATTTTCAGCGTAACATGAATTTATCCCGTTTCAAAGCTTTTAGTTAAATGCGAACAATTTAGAAATAATATGATTAGAAATGGAGGTTTGAATATTATCTTCAAATCCTAATCCTCTCCATTAGCAGTAATTCTTCTACTATCTCTACCCCTATGGGATTTGAATTGACAATTGTGGTTCTGTGTGCTAATATGGTATGGCAACATGAACTGATGTACTTACGTACAAAGTTCTACGTTGTGACTGACTGACTGACTGGACTCGAGATGAATGGTTTGAAACAAGATAGAAAATGTCAACTGTAACAGTTAAGATTGTCATTTGTGTTAAAACCAGTCGTTAAAAGTAAGCGAGTTAAGGCGATGACTATAAATATCTCAATAAAAGTTTATGATTACATAATCAAACCACTTAATTATGGTGTGTAGATTGTTTGATTTCAAGTTCTTAATAAGTGGTTGGTTTTGGTTAGGCAATCACTGAAAACCAGGAATCCTCAGCAGTGAACTTTCATAACCCTACTAGAATGGAACCCATTTTTTAAGATTCCGGATCGAGCGTTTAATATTTAGATCACCTAGTTGAGATTGATTGGTTTACATTTCTAACTTCAGTTCATTCATGATATGGTGTGACTATCATCTGTTGCCATGGTAGATATTTTTCGGAATATCAGATGTGACTGAAATCCACTGGTCACGGGATTTTAGCAACCCGCGAACTGACTCCAATTTGTACAAACAATTGAATTTATACTATGAAAATAAATCTTCTTTCTAGTTTCCGTATATTATAACTAGGCGAATCCTGTTTCTGTGACAGAAGTAATTAGGAAGTCAAATACAGATTGAATTGGATGAGTTAATTTCAGGTAACCATTCACGCAGGCAAACATGAGGATACAAAGTGGAAAAGCAAAATGAAACAAAGTGGGCAAGACGAATGGGCCAATACGATGTCAAGAGGTGTGAATGAATATTTATAGTCAGATAAGAGTAGGTTAGATAAGTGATAAGTGAAGTAAGCATTGCGAACACACATTCAAAGAATAACAGCCAAGGTCACAAGGGAAAAATTCACAGGGTCAAAAGATGTATGAATAATGACTCGAGAAAAATAGATTGATTAGTTTGTTCGAAGTCTGGAACAAGGAAATATAATAATAATGCTAAAATTATATGATCACAGTAAAAACAAAGATAAAACATAATTATTTTGTACATAAAGGCTTTATTTTAAAGGTGGCATGAGGTTCTACTGCTTTAAGGAGTTAAATAAACAAGAACCTTTATAGATTTTTGATGAATTATAGTAATAACGTTAAAATCAAGCGTTAGACAGCTGGAATGGCTAGAATTGAGCGATTGTTCAAGAACAGAATTTTTAACCAGTTTCCTTTCATAGCCGACCGAAGCTGCTACCTTGACGTGGTGGTCGGGCTTGCCTATCGTGATGACCCAACCGAGCTATATTGGCTGGAACTTATGTTCCTGAAGGTTTTACCATGCTAGGCAGGTCGATTGGAGAGCGATGAGACTATGTTTTGTGGTGTAGGAGTAGGTTGGAAGAAAGTTGGGGACGGCCAGACCAAAACATGGCACAAATCCATGAAGTCACTGACAAGTGGACTGAGTCATGTTGGTAGATGTAGACTACCTGGTTGGGGTCCGCGAGACGAAAGTCACCAACGGTTAGAGACCTTGAACGACATGACTCAAAATCGTTTGCAATTGCGCAAGTGCATCCATTCGCTGTGCTCTCTCAAATCCTAATCTTCTGGATTCATCAGCACCTCTACCTTTGTCTTTCTAACCTTATCTCAATGAATTATACTTCTTGAATAATATCTTCAAACCCTAGTCTTCTTCATTACCATTAATACCTCTACTATCTTTATCACTATGGGATTTGATTAGACATTTACGTCTCTTTGCTAATGTGGTATGGCAACATGAACTTATGTACGAAGTTCTACTTTGCAACTGACTGACCTTTCATCTTGAATCAGACCGGCATATGACACACTATCCGAGTTGAAGACAAGTTTTCAATACTATCTATGTACCTTGCTCCACAAGAGAAGGTAAACTGAAAGACATATTTTAAGTAGAGTTGGATAGTGGCTAGCCGTGTAATACAAGATGAACTTTTCATCATATTCCAGTCGCAATTATTAAGTAGACATACACTCAGGTGTTGCTATTCACAGAACAACTCACTTTGATTAATTGCACTCCACAACATCAAACCCAACACTCAAACAACCAATATGAATTAACTGAAAAATCACCGACCTCGCACAATACTGTGGTCGTCTACACTCAGTATCTAAGTGAATAATACAATGGCGTTTGAAGTCAACAACATTGAGTTCAAGTCTCTAGGGGACATCAACAATGGGTTGCAGTTAAATACAGTGAACGAGTCCGAAACAAGATGAAACGTACAGTATGGATTTCAGTGCTAGTCTCCACACAACTGTGTTTACAATACTTATGCATTACTAGTAAAATCGAGGCAATCCTCGAAGGATTGCAAATTTGTCGAAGGAGACTTATTAACCGAAGTCCTACTACATCAAGTAGAAAGATTTGAACAGCACCAACACAAATGAATTTTGTGCTACATTTAGAAATCTATAATTTATCAATATATTGCAGTCCTGCTTTAACCAAGTTAAAATTAATTTTTTTCAACAAACCAAACCAATTATTTGCTTTGTGTGTGTGTGTGTGTGTGAAATGGTTTGATCACGTTTTTCACAATTAATTAATGTGATGCATTTTGGTTGATCAATTATGAAGTAATCCAGTTTGGCGTTGTTTACTTTTATTTTTCTATTGAAATCAATGGTCTGCATCCATCTTTGCCATAATAACATGAACATGTATGTGTTAATGAAAAAAATGACACATTTTTTTTTGTTAATTCAATGGCGGGAAAGGAATGTGTATGATATGAAATACGCCCACACACACACACCTACATTCGTAGTGTATTTAATTTAATTATTGACATTTGAATACTGACGTGTTTAGTTAGAAAAAAAAAAGAGTGAAACATCGATAATCAGTATTTGTGTATGATCATGCAACTCATCAATAATATACGCAGATTAGATTAGCATGTTTATGAGATGAGAAACTGCGTGATTCCTATTAAATTTCTCTATTCTATCTCATGGGTAATAGAGATGATACAAGGAAAATCTTGTTGAATTTTGATCTTGAAATTTATGTCGCGCCTAATATAAACTCAGTACGGTTGTTAGGAATATTGTAGTGAGTAAAATTCATCAAAGTCTCTTAACAACATGAACAGTTAGTCGAGATCAAACTAGAGCTTGACACGTACAAGTAAACCGAAGTAGCCATTTCATATTTTGGTACAGAAAGATAAAACCAACATGAAGAATAACAAAAGAGGTAGAAATAATGTAGTAGCAATAACAGTGTGAATGATTGAGTTTTGAAAATATGGCTTAAAGTCTGTTGAACAGATATGTATGAAGGAGTAATTGAATACAAGACTGAGAAGATAAAGATGACAAATATAGTGTAGTGAAGGATAGCACGGGTGGGGCAACCGGATTGTATTCAACGAAAATTACAGAGTTACTCAGTGAAATCGGAACACCATATCGGAAATCGTTCATTTGCAAAATATCAGTCCATCATATCGAACTGGACTGTTCCCGTTGCAAAACATCAATCCATTGTCACTATTCATGCGTTTCATACAAATTCCATTGTGTTCTAACTCTTCCTTTCTTGATCTTCCCCCATGTTCTGCTGCTAGACATTACGTTGACACTCACGTCATATACTACTTATAAGTGGCTCGCACCACAATAGGACCTTGCCAATAGTCGCAGCTATTTCGCGGACTCTAACCTGATAGTCTGGTCTTTTTAGCATGACTAATAGGTGGTTGGTTAGAGGTTCTATAAATGTTAGTGAGTTATGTGTACTGGAAGCAATGTCGAAAAGTGGTTTATAAAGTAAAACACTCGAATTTCAATAGGTTTCAGGCTGAAATCTTACTTTTTGCTCCAAGCTGTCAAGTGGCATCACTATCCATGATATAAGTAGTGTCTTATGGTCATTTACATAAATGCTTGCATAACAAATACAATTTGACGCTCTATTTTTGACAGTTCTGTTACTTGTGTATGTTATTCAACAAGGGATTATCCTTTATTTAATTGTATCTATTCGACAAACCAGTTCAAACTGTCTTGAAGTTTGATTGTAATTCATAACTTTACAGCAGCACTTACTATCATCAGACTTCATGATTGAAAAATCACAGTCATAATCGTTGAATCTGATCATGATCATGACAATATGCTGAAAATAATTTATTTAAATATCGCAAAATATTTACTCAAAACTGAAACAAAAAATAACATGATCGTCTAGCACATCTGTCATTGTCATCATAACTAGAATCACTTGTCACAAGTCATATGGTGTGTAGGTGTGTGTGTGTGCGTGTGTATACACATTGTTGTTCGTCATAATTACAGAGAAAAAAACACAAATATTATGCTCTAATAATAATATTAATAATAATCTTATGACGTGTCTATCAGTGATTATTAAAATTGAAATGAAAAAAAAATAATCTGCATCAGTTAGACAAATTACTCATTGGATTGATCACTGGTATGTGTTAGGTGGGACTGTGGTGTGAGCTACTTATAAGTAGTATATGACGTGAGTGTCAACGTAATGTCTGGCAGCAGAACATGGGGGAAGATCAAGAAAGGAAGAGTTAGAAAACAATGGAATTTGTATGAAACGCATGAATAGAACTGATATTTTACAAATTAACGATTTACGATATGGTTTTCCGATTTTACTGAGTAACTCTGTAATTATCGTTAAGTACAATCCGGATGCCCCACCTGTGTTCTCATTCACTACAGGATGTGCAACGATTCACTTATTTTCGCAGTACTTTATTTTACAATGACAATGATAAAATTTCATTTTAAATTGTGTGATTTTAGTTTTTGAGCTAATTATTTAAAATGGTAAAGCTTTTATTGTCTGTGCTATAATAAGGTCATGTAGAATTGGGGATTTTTTTGGTTATTCCACCACACATTTGTTAATATTTGTTTGTTTGAATGATTTTATCTTTTGAGGAGGTTGGTTGTTTTTGCAACTCCGCGTAAAGCCCCCGCCTGGGATTATTGTCAGTCTCAAGCCCGGATAAAGAAGGAGGGTTGGGCATGGAGTTGGCGACCAGATCCCGTAGAAATCTAACTCGTTAAATAAATGCTAACCGGAGGAAAATAAGTCACAGGTTGGCAGAGTATGCTTCATGAAGGGTAACAGACGTAAGTAAGTAAGTAAGTGGTTGTTTTTGTAATCCCTTTTTCGGCATTTCATTTACTCTTGCACACATATCAAACTGTTTTTTTCTTCTGTTGTCCTGTGACTGTGTAATTAATTCACTAATTCTGTTTTGATTGATTAATTAAATCTGAATTGATACGTTTATTTATTGCAGAGTAATCTGAATGTCTTCTTGGTGAAAATTCTCTGGGTTAATTCACATTTTCTCAACCCAAACTTTAGACGTTTTCCTAATCAAGTTTATATTTGCCTGTGTTGTTCATAAGCATTGATATCATTGATAACATATAATAATACGATATTTTCAATTAGAGTTATGGAGATTAGTGTTTGTTGCACATTGTTAGACCACCATTAGAAACCTGGAGTCACTGGACGGCCGTTTCGTCCCAGTACGGGACACATCAGCAGTGCAAATCAACGACTCCTGCACCTCGCAGGATTTGAATTCGGGACATTCGGTCTTGTGCGCGAACGCCTAACCTCTGTGTGGTGTTCGCTACTTATGTTCACATAAGTAGTATATGATATCAAATGGAAATAAAACGTCTGACAGCAAAAGATCGAGAACGAAAGAATGAAACAGAAGGCGATTTGTAGGTAACGTAAGGTGAACTGAAGTCTGAACAGTCTAAATGAAAGAACACTGAAATCTGAAACAAATAAGGATTAGTTTTCAAATGATGATTCACGGGAAGGTTTTGTAAATATGCCTAACAACTCTGTAATATTCGCCTAAATATGTTATTAATGTCCTCACCTGAGTTCTCGAGAACAACATCTGGACCACTGGGCCGGTATCCTACGGTGTTAATGTCTAACTTTGATTGATCTATGGATTTTGCGCGACTTCACTCATTTGTCTTCGGTAATTACTGCCTACACCCGACAGGGTTGAACATCAGTAACGCTAATTTATGTCTATATATGGTGTAGATGAAAGATACATCCACCTTGAACAGGCCGACAATAATTTATTTTTAAGGTAGTAAAGCTGCATTTATTCTCTGTCATCATATCCTTTGATTTGCATGAAATGAATGTATTGAAGATATTGATTATAATACGTTCCTGAATCCTTGTAATAGCTTCCAAGGTATTTTTCACATATAGTAGGAAAATCTGTATACTTCTATCAATTTCTCAGTTTAACCTATGGATGGTATATTGATTTGTTAAGTATTTTTTCATGACAAACACGAACTGACTGATAATGAATTTTTCCAATGTTTCCTAAAGTTATCATTCAACACTATCACTTTAGCAGTTCTAATTCTCTAAATGTATGAAGAAATGTATTCCTAACACTGAAAAACTACTCTTATTAAACTCTTCTATGTACATGGTTGGTTTTTATGTAAACAGTTTTTTAAAGGTAGACAACAGGTAACGATATGTTAAGTCTCATTTGAACCAGCATAAATTATTTTACATTTACAACCATTAGTCCTCTTCATAGATCTTGGTAGATTAATAGGAAGACAAAGTTGATCTCGGAACATATGATGTATTTGCGCTAAACAATTTGAACTATATGATCACATGTATACCTGTGAATGAATTTTGTGTGAACACCAGTAAACAGTAAATCAGTTAGTTACAACGCAGAACTCGGAAGGTACGTACATAAGTTCATATTGCCATACCACATTAACATAGAGACGCAATTGTTGGTTCAAATAACATAGTTGTAGAGATAGCAGAAGTATTAGCGGTAATGGAGAAGATTAGGATCTGAAGATACTATTCAACAAGTACAATTCAATGAAATAAGTTTAAAAAGAGAAAGATAGAGGAGATGAGGAATTAGGAAGATTAGAATTTCAAAGAACACCGACAGTCAATGCACCTGCGCCATTGCAAACGATTTTGTGCCATGTCATTCAAAGACTCTAACCATTGGTAACTATCGTCTCGCGGACCCCAACCAGGTAGTCTACATCTACCAACATGACTCAGTCCACTTGTCAGTGACTTCATGGATTTGTGCCATGTTTTGGTTTGGTCACCCCTTGTTTTCTTTCAACCTACTTCTACACTACAAAACAGCTTGTCGAGGGAGTCGGTGGTTAAGCAAACGTAACACATATCCCAACCGTTTCAACTGATGGGGTTTGAATACCTCATCGATTGATCTGCCATCCTTATCTAGCACTCGTTTCCTAACGACAGCATTGCTTACTCTGTTGTCTCGTGATACACGAGAAATGCTTCAAAGACATCCATAATCGAATACTAATAACCTTCGAATATCCTCAATTGTTACTGACCATGTTTCGTCCAATTTGAATCGACTTTGATTCATGTCATTCATGAAATACACTTCAGTAACACTTGTAATAATCTTATATTCTGTATACATCCAATATTATCTGGACTCTTGAAAGTTACATAAATGCTTCTGACTAGTCTACATTGCAGCCGGATTTCATACAAGCTTGAAGATCCGATTGAACGTATGACTAATCTATTCTAAATTTATTTGTCATATAGCTTGGATAATTGCATACTTTTTTTTACCAGTTTTTTATTTGATCAATTGCTTGTTGGTGTTCAAATAAACCCTCTCTCTCTCATAAATGAATCATATTCGGTTTTTTTTAATATCAAGTAATTAAACAGTAGATGATTTAATAATGAGTTGAGCCTCGAAAATTTTACGGAATCAGTTGGAGGTTTGTGTAATTTGATGTCAGATTGAATCTAACGCAAATCTATTCTATCCTCCTACACACTTTTATATATAAGTCAAAGTTAACCATAACTTTTTTAGTGAATCATCCACTAACGCACTGACCTTTCTATTATCAATATAAGTAAACTTACCAAAGACAAAGTTACATCACTCATTTTCTTCAATTCGTCTATATTCCATTCTCTTTTTCTGATTACATTTTGTAATATATTCGGAATTTTTACATTTTCAATAGAATTATTATCCATTAAATTTATGAAATAAGATCTGAATTTAAGATATTTGTTTAATGATTTATAGTGAAGTAAATAAATACTATTATCGACTGTCAATAAAACATCACCATTTGATTGAATACTGACAATTCTACAAACAGCTTTACATGTTCTTGGTCCAGTTGGACATGGTAATCTTAATGTATTTAATAATTGTAGGCTACATTTTAAATTAATAATATTAGTGTCTTCATTATCAGCCAATATTTTTGAATTTTTCAAAGTTTCTATGGATGTTCGTTTCAAACTGCTAGAGCTTTTGACACGATATTCATTTCCCCTATTGTATTCAAATATTATCCGCCATACTTTTAAGTAAAGGCTTTCTTGTTCAACAGGATCAATGGTTATTGTTAAAAATATTTGTTCAACAATGGGCGCTTTTTCAAAATGCTTATTTAATGTACTGATATTGGTTAAGCCAATACAACTATCTTTGATCAAAGTTATATTATCATGATTTAAATAAGCTGAATTAAAATAACGTGTTGTTAAGAAACTGAATATTGAATACGTATCGCCTGGATGAGTTATTTCAGCACAAATTGCATTGTAACAGCAAGCATCATTTAAACAGTGAATATTAGCTTTATCTATTTTGGAGAATGAAAAATTCTTAGCGGTATAAACACAACAGATGTCAGTATTATGAATAAATTTGAATGGAAAACGTGTGAAATATACACGTTTATCTCTTTGAAAGATATCCGGTCTTTGAATTTGTACACCGATTGGTAAAGGTGTAATCAATTGCCATACTTTAATTGTTCCCTCTCCATTAATAGTGTACAATCTCCCGAATTTCGGATTTGATCTGATCGATGATAGATGTTGTTGTGGTTGATTATTTTCTGGAAGATTGTCTAATTTGCAAGGTAAACAAAATTAAGTGAGTAACTTACATAAGTGGTGTGTCAGTCGTTTACAAAAAATAACGCAACTCAACATCAAGAAGTTATTGATAATGGTTTTGAACTGATTTCCAATTTATTTATCAATTTACATCATAGTTTAAATGCGAAATTATTCACAGGATAAATTGTGGCGGAGATGGGTTTTCTAGGCTGAGCGGTCTAATCGTGAAGCTTTCATCATCTTTCTGGACCACATTATCATCAGTGATGATGTAAGCAAAGACATTTAGTGGAGCATGACAACGAATCGGTATTTATACAGAAGATGAGTAGCGCAAGGTTTTGTAATGTTGCCTCTAGTTCGACCTCACTTCTATATAAAGTTTGTTTCAGTGATGTAATCTAGAAAAATAATGAGTGCTTAACTATTAACCATTCAGCTGAGAGGTAGTGAATCTAACGAAATCATGCTCCAATCATACACTGTGCTCACTAGTGACTAGCTTCGGAGGGGATTCTCAGAATTCGGTGAGAAGAGGTGACCAGTGAAGTTCAGCCCTGTCGGGTGTAGGTAGGTCGCGCAAAATCCCTAAACTGATCAGAGTTAGACATTAGAACCGTTGGGTGCTGGCCCAGTGGTCTAGAGTTTAGGCATTCGTGCGCAAAATCGAAAGTCCTGGGTTCGAACCCTGTGATTAGCAGGGTTTATGTCCCATACCAGCACGAAACGGCCGTCCTGTTCAGGTTTCTAATGGTGGTCTAACAATGATTCATTCATGATTTCAGTGTATGAAATGCTTACATCTAATTTATTCGGCGAAGTTTCAGTACATCTGCCCGAACTATAAAAAATCTGCCCCCTAAAACTTTCCTATACTTTATCGATATTATGCTAACAACTTTCAAACACTAATAATCACACAGACTGTCCCTTGTAGTTACAGCGTTGACTATTTGAAAGTTAAAAAAGTTTAGATATATATTCACACTACTTAAAAACTTCAAGTAATACGACACTTGGTATAATAATTTGATTCTTCTTCGTACGCATAAAAAAAATATTTCATAAATGCGTTTCTGGCCAATTTAATAAACTGAACACTTAAGTCACTTGCAGGGTAAGGATGAATCTAGATTTTTACCTTGCATTTCTGAAATGAGAAGATCCTAATCCTGGTGACTGACATAATTAACTATTGTAAAAATGAACTTCCACAGATAAAGAATGACCATTAATAATAAAAAGTATTGATCAAATAATACACGTAATTAATTCGAATACAGAGCATTTTAGGATCCATATCACGTCACAATGATGTCATAGGCGATTAAATGACCCACTGAAGCATATACAGTCCATTTACCTGAAGCTCTATTGATTGAATCCATTGGAGTTTTGCTCAATATGATTCCTTCTGTAGTACATAATAATACCATAGATCCATCCGACTGACCAACCAATAATAACAAAATAACCGGTGGTAAGTGATCACTGAACCTGTCATTTTCCAAAAATAATCTGAAGTGTTCTGGACAATAAACTGGATAAAGTAAGAGTGGACCACGATAAAATACATCATGATCAACTGATGACCATACAGAAAGTAAATTGCATGGACGGGTACAAGTGGAAAATACAGCGATGTTTCCATTCTGAAAGCGTAAGTCAAATGTGATACACCAAAGATAAATAAATTAGATGTAAGCAGCAGATTTACAATAAATTTAGTGAGTACATGTTATAGAATTCCAAATGGTTTTTCACCTAGATTAATTTAGTTGCTTAAGTGTGTTAAGCCGAAGATTAAAACACTTATTAAGTAAACTTAACACTTGGAATCAGAAGAGCGATTGTTACGATCAAATAACCTTTGAGAGAGTGTCAAAAAAACTAGTGTTCTTAAAAGTGCATTGATAAGATAATAAAAATAATTATGTGGTACACGTAGAACACTTCTTTCTAATTTGAGATACTAAAACGATATGTAATTATGATCTCTAGAGAAACAATTACATATGCCATTATAGGATTGTGCAGATTGTCGGGTTTCACTAGAATCATCGATTGATCAATGGTGGACCACCATGAAAAAAACTGGGAGTACTGGACAGCGTTTTCGTCCCAGTAGGGAACTCATCATCAGTGTGTATCCACGACCATACAAGCGGGAATCGAACCCAGAACCTTCAGTGGGGAAATCGATTTCAGTTCCATTAATATCTATTTACCAGAGAAATTGGCGGAAAATTACCATATTATCCTCTATAAAAATCAGTCAAATACAGTAATTCATAATGTTAATATTTCTTAATGTTCTAATGAACAGATGATGCGGAAAGCTTTTTGAACTACAACACAACGAGTAGACTTAGTCTTTATGAAATTACAATATGTAGGCATCGAAATGTCTTAAAAGTAAATGCGAAAATGTCTGATACTAATTAAAATCATGTTCTAGGAGAATCGATATGTATGTATATGTTATTTTACTTACATTCAGTCTTTCTAAGAGTATTTCATCTCTTGTGGTTTCAAAGGAACAGATTTCCCAAAGTGGACAATATCTTACTCCTTATATTATGGATAAGGTAATTTTGTAAACGTGTGATCGACGTTAACACCTTTACATATCTTGGCAGCATCATCGACAACCAAGGTGGATCCGATGCAGATGTGAAGGCACGGATTGGCAAAGCAAGGGCTGCGTTTCTACAGTTGAAAAATATCTGGAACTTCAAACAACTTTCAACCAAAACCAAAATCAGGATTTTCAGTACAAATGTCAAGACAGTTCTGCTGTATGGAGCGGAAACATGGAGAACTACCTAAGACATCATCCAGAAGATACAAGTGTTTATTAATAGTTGTCTACGCAAAATACTTCCGATTCGTTGGCCAGACACCATCAGCAACCACGAACTGTGGGAGAGAACAAACCAGATTCCAGTGGAGGAGGAAATCAGGAAGAAGCGGTGGAAGTGGATAGGACACACACTACGAAAAGCACCTAACTGCGTCACGAGACAAGCCCTCACTTGGAACATTCAAGTCGAAAGGAAAATAGGAATGCCAAGGAACACATTACGCCGAGAAATAGAGAAAGATATGAGAAGAATGAACAAACATTGGACAGAATTGGAGAGGGAAGCCCAGGACAGATTTGGTTCGAGAAAACTGGTGGGCGGCCTATGCTCCATTGGGTATAACAGGCGTAAGTAAGTAAGTAAATAATGATCGATATTTCAGTCATCTATGGTTCCATAGAATTACTCTCGTAACACTAGATTATTAAAATCTTAAGAAATACAGTTCATGTTTTAGAAATTGATATAAAGCTGAATTGTTACTTTTTATACTATACCAGAGCTGTCCTCAAAATAAAAGTGGTTGACGAAGAATCTTCAAAGCAATTAAAATAATCCATAATACAAAAAGGGATAACTGTTCAAAATGTATAAAGAACTGTGAAATGCATTCATTGAAAGATTATAGTTATAATTCCTACGAATAATATTAATATTCGTACTTGAAGTATGAGTGTCTTCAGTATTTAAATATCTCATAGAAAGAAGTTATATAATAGACTTACATTTTGTAAAATAAACAATTTTTCAAGCATCCAATGCCAAGCAGCATCTACAACTGTATCGTCACATACAGCTGTTGTTAAAATGGATCCATCCAGTGTAGAAAGTAAATGTACACTTCCAGGTTTTCCTTCGCATATAACAACTGCTATATTGATTGAATTATCGTTTAGACATTCAGATCGATTATATGATTTATTGGTTTCAGGATAAACAATATCATATAAATCATTTAATCTTATAAATGATACAGTTTTAACTGTTTTTGGAAATTCGGCTATTGGCGAACATGGCTGTCCAATAATGTAAAACAAAAGAATTAAACTTTAATAAACATACCATTATTAACTAATCAATGATTTGCCATATATATAACCTAAGGACTCCTAGCGGCGCAACTGGGTAATGCGGGCAACTCTGTTGGCTAACTTGTGAGGTCGGTGGAGATCGGACTTATCATCCACGTCAATACAGTAACTGATAGTCTTTCGAGACTCAAACCTGAAAACTGACGAGGCAGTCCGATGTGCATGCTCGCGTGTGTGAATTGCGTCAGTCTCTGCCTATGTAATTTATGTCCATAGGTATAAGCAAAAGGTACCCTCATGGGCTCGAGAAAAAAAGGCTAAAACAAAAAGCGAGGCCTAAATTTATCCGAAAGAATAAAAACTGGGTAGCAAATAGACTGCTTGTGTCTAAATGTACGTCATGCAGTGCTTAAGCGAGAGCTTGAGCACCAGTGGTATGTAAGTAACGCATGAGAGGTGGTCTGTTGTAGCAAGTACGTTCATGGGATCGTTAACCATGTACCCTCACAGGGTTGGTTACACCGACGAGCAAACCAAGGAATGCATGGATGAAAACTCGTGTGTTCCCAATGTGCGTGTAATGTACAACTGACCTCCAGGGCAAATATGCCTCTATGCATGTCACGAGATATGAGTGATGAAAACGCATGTGTTTCTGATATGCATGTAATATACATTTGGTCTTGGTGCTACGCTCCTGCACCGAGATCCTCGAAGTTATGGTTCCCCACATTAACACAGCCACGAGGTGAGTTTATAGGCCTCGAAATAAAAATGAAATAAAAATGTGGAATACATTGGTATTATGGCCGTTCATCGAATTTAACCAAAATTGCTTAATTTAGTGCTTTCCTTCTAATTAATCAACAAAACAGTAATGTCTGGTAAAGATTTTTTCTGAGCACTTTGAACTAGCTGATTTCCACAACACAACTATCATTCTTGTAGACACTAGAAGATTTTACTTTACAAACGGTAACAATTATTATAACACAATAATTTACCTAATGAGTAATATATAAGGTTTTACGGAAAATATCTTCAAAGTCTCAAATAAATTAATTGAAGGTGTGAATGTGAATAAATGGATTTTCAGTCATTACCCAAAGGATATCGTGCTCGTTTGGAGTTCTGAAGACTATAAGTACGAAGCAGTGGGGGTACTGAGAGTGAGCACTACTTTGGAGGCATAAAGTGAGATCAAAAACCAGCTCGACACCTTTCGTTTTCGAATAATTCCTAATTTGACATCAGTTGATGCTAAAATTCATGATACCACCGGCTCTGTGGTCTGAAGGTTAAGCATTCTCGCGCGAGACCGAAGGCCTTGGGTTTGGTTCCTGCGAGTAAGGATCGTGGATGCGCACTGCTGATGAGTCACAAACTTAGATGAATAACCGCCATCCAGTGCTGCCAAGTTTCTAATGAAATTAGATATTTGGAAGCGAAGAATAATAAATAATTGAACTAGTGAAATTTCAGATAATTTTCAATTTATATTACCTCAGATAATATCCAATGTTCCATGTAATACTGCCGTTGACATTTCTCTTGAATCTCACATGAATCAGCGTCTCGATATACTCCGACTAGAATAATGTCACCAGTGTTTCTTTTCATTACAATGTCATGAACAGTGTGTAGTGAGTTTGGTGAGGACGTTTTTGTAGATAGAATTTTCGAATACAAATTTATAAGTGTCTGTCTACTATCTACTTCTTTTATACTGTTCTCTTTGGTTTCATGATCTGATACTATTTTTGACAGATTTGAAGATCCTGAAGTATCATTTCTCGGATACACATAATTTGATTGCGAAAACTGCCAACATTTCATCAGTCCATCCTTACTTATTGAAACGAAACTTGGAAATGTGGAATAAAATTTATGTGATCTAATTAAATCCCACCTATGTGCTGAAAAATGCATAATTTCTCCCAAATGACCATGAAGTACTGTTAATTGAACTTGATCAGTATTCCATGTCTAGAAATGAAAATGTTTATATTTTATAAATTTTTTATCGGACAGCTGAATTAGTTTACTAACGTGTTAATATCTCGTTAATACCTGTAAGTATAGTTGAGGACATTTTTATCTAATCACCAGATACATCCGTCGCTAGTTCTGTTCTAAAGTCATCACACTTGATTTTAATAAATGATTAAAATTTGAAGATTCAGATCAACTGGACTTAGAGCACATATTAAATATTGTGAAACATTTAAAAAGGTGTTGAATTAGCCTCGATAATTTTCGAAAACTTTATTGAAAAACCGGGAATCGAATCCCCTCATCGCAGGATCTGAAGGTGTTGCATTCAGCTGTTAGCGAGATTTTAGTTAAGAGCTGACAAAAAAACCCCACTAAGAATAAAAAGTTATTCAGTACCAACTAATTTTCAATATTCATCTAATTAGTCAATTTCTTTTGTAAACTACCTTCGAATTGAACAATATCGCCAAAAATCCTATGATAGGATATATATATATATATATATATATATATATATATGTATATATATATATATATATGAGTTGGGATAATTTTCTATTGCTGTTAAGCTGTTCGGTTCGGTAGATGACCAACGTAAGGTTTGATTCGCGTCGTTTGGTGAATTCATAGCTCTGGAAAAGTTTTAAACATCGAGTTGACGGATTCCGAGTAATACGCTCGAAACGTTAAATTATTGAAGCCGAATGGTTACTGCCAATTTTGTGATTTGTTTTAGCTTGATGGGCCTGTGATATGAGTGTTGATAGTCGTGAGCACACTCTTTTCCCAGTCATTCTTTGTGCCTACAAACCTGGATTAATAAATCTTCATTACACTGATCAAGCTAGCTTTTTTCAAATCAGTATTAACCATCCTTAAATTTCTAATTATAATGGATTCTAGACTTGTTAAGATCCTTTAAATTGATGTACACCATGCGATATTTATAAAAACATATTTTACATCATATTTATTTTTTCTGAAACTTCAACTTCTGAAAAAGATTTATAACACTTACGGAAGCTTCAATGAAAATTATCAGACTGCTGCTTGAGTAGTGTCACAAGTTGTTTGAACATAACTTCAGTTTATGGCTAGATCAACAAACTTTATTGTGATATAGACTGTAAATCGTTACTGACTTAGGACAAATAAATTAAGCATGTAATTACTCTGTAGACCACTGTCGTATGTCAAAGACTGATTTCACTAAGATGATGGTCTAACTGTCTGTTGTTCTAGTGGCGATACTGTTTATTATCTCGTATTCTGTGTCAGACGATGACTCTTACGTTAAAGTAAATATACAATAAGTTCTCAGTATTTGTATCAAACCCTGATACTTTGAATTATTTAATTTGAACAAACTGGAATAAATCGCTATACTTTCCCATTAAAAAAAAAATCAAATATTAAAACACATACTTTTATTGTCCCGGATATATCACCAGTAATTAAAACATTTAACGGGCTAAAAAACAGAACAGCCGTAATTTGTGATTTATGAGTGATGGTTGAATTTTGAAAGCTTTGAAAATTGATCGTTTCTAAAAGTCTTTCATCGGCCTCATCACAATTATTATCGTAAGACTTATAACTAAAATGTTTATCGAATTGCATACAACGTAACCAAGCTGAATATTTCCAACCAATTAGAAGTTGACATTTCTGACTCCAATTCTCTTCGAAACTGACTAATTCTGTTGGAAATTCAAATGTCTCAAAAAGTCTTTTAAGTAGAGGACATGTACTGATTTGTGTGAATAATTCTTCTTGGTGCGTCGGAAATCTAAATGGGATACAATTCTTAAGTGCCAAAACTGGTACGCATTTATCTGGTATAAGTTGGATTTCAGTAAATTGAAATTGCCAGTGTCTTGCAAATATAATCCGGGAATAGTCATTTGAACATAGTTTAAATGATTTTAATTCCAGCGAAACTATACTTCCTGAATCAAAGTTAGAAAATACACCGATTAACTGATTTGTAGTTGTAGATGGAATACCAATTTTCTGGAAAGTGAATAAAAATAACTTTTTGAAGTGATACGGTAATAAGATAGTCGCTGAAAAGAACTTGTATAAATGATTAACAAGGTTTGCCACGAGAACCTTACGCCTTGAGACCAACAGTAACAGTAAAGACTAAGAATCACTGTGTGACTTCTACAAAGTAATTAATTGTTTGGAAATATATAACCACGTTTATCTGTATTCAAATAACAATGAAGTACGATGGAAAAGTGTTTGAATGATTTAAGCTGATTTGTTCAGTAACTTGGTAAGACAGTTATCGGACTAATTTGGCCTGGATTCCAAAGAAAGGACGTCTGAAGTGGAGGAAAAATTCTACTAACGGCCTGATTTAGTCACTTCCCGCTGAATCTTTCAAAGCCCCATATAATGTTAGCTCAAACCACAAAGTATGGCTTAGGCTGACTGCTTTAAATTCTAAAATCCTGAATATTATGCATCATGGACCAATGATCGAGAACAGTGGTGGGTAGCGAAAGCAAGAGAGATGGAAAAGGAAACGGCGATGGGCAACAATAAGTAACTATTCAGACTTATCATGGAAACCGGTATTAGGAACCCGAATGTGAGCGAAACTAACTCGGAAAAGGATGGCTGTATCATTCATTCTCAATCCAGGAGATTGGATCGATGGGCAGAACACTTCGGGGATCAGTTCATCTGGCCTTCACCAACACTTAGGTTGCCCACAATCTTCAGTCATCCCGAATGAGAAACCGACATAAGTTCTCCTAGTCTATATGAAGTTGAGAAAGATATAGGAAATCTGAAGTGAGGGAGAGCTGCGGGTACTAATAGAGTTACCTCTGAGATTTTTAAGGATGGTGGTCCAGCTTTAGCAGCTAGATTGACAATCACAGCGGAATCAGTCTAACTAATATGGTTTCTAAATTGTTAGCCTGTTATCCTTAGGCACCTTACTAGAGCTCGTGAAGAGCAGACTAAATAAAACCAGTCTGGTTTTCCATCTGGACATGGCTGCATAGACCACATCTTCACACTACGACAGGTCCTGGAACATAGACACACATTTAGGCGTCCGGCAATAGTTGTCTTCCTGGACCTAAAAGCGGCATTTGACTCTGTTGATCGTGAGGTTCTGTGGCAGTGTCTGTCATTGAAAGTTGTACCAAAGAAGTACATTAACATTATACAAGCTCTCTACTCGAACAATACAGATCGAGTTAGAGCTTATGGCGAACTGTAAATGGGATTATTTACTTCAAGTGTTGTCCGTCAGGGATGTCCACTCAGTCCATTCTTGCTCAATTTTGTCATAGACATGTTGCTAGGTATAACATTATCTTCGTCTGAATTTTCTGGAGTACACCTTTTACCAGGTGGCTCGCTTACTGACTTAGAATATGCCGATGACATAGCCCTATTCGGTGAAGACGCTGACAAAATGCAGAGACTTTTGACTACACTGAGCAACAATGCAAGCATGTTCGGGATGCGGTTTTACCCGTCGAAATGCAAAATGTTGCTTCAAGATTGGGTTGAATTGGCACCTGAACTAGTGATAGGGAGTGAAGCAGTTGAGCATGTCGACCGCTTCACTTATCTGGGGAGTCTCATCAGTGCTGATGACCTGGTGACTGACGAAATCTGAGCACGCATACAGAAGGCTCGATTGGCTTTTGCCAACCTGCGTCACTTATGGCGAAGACGAGATATCCGTTTGCTGACCAAAGGAAGGGTGTACTGTGCAACAGTTCGCTCCGTTCTCCTATATGGCTGTGAAACATTGCCAGTAAGAGTAGAAGATACTCGTAGGTTACTAGTATTCGATCATAGATGTTTAAGAAGCATTGCTCGTATATCGTGGGACAACCGAGTAAGCAATGCTGTCGTTAGAAAACGAGTACTAGGTAAGGATGGCAGATCAATAGATGAAGTAGTGAAACTTCATCAGTTGTGGTGGTTGGGACATGTGTTACGTATGGCTAACTACCGACTGCCTCGACGAGCTATGTTTTGTGATGTAGAAATAGGTTGGAAGAAAGCTAGGGGCGGCCAGACCAAAACATGACAGAAATCCATGAAGTCACTGACAAGTGGACTGAGTCATGTTGGTAGATGTAGGCTACCTGGTTGGGGTCTGCGAGATGATAATAATCGATGGCTAGAGACCCTGAATGACATCGCTCAAAACCGTTTGCAATGGCGCAGGTGCATATACTCTTTGTGCTCTATGAAATTCTAACCTCCTGAATTAATCATCACCTCTATCTATCTCTTTATAAATTTACGTCACTGAACCATACTTCTTGAATAACATCTTCGAACCCTAATCTCTCTGATTACTTCTAATACTTTTACTACCTTTACTACTATGAGATTTGAGTTTACAATTATATCTGTGTGCTAACGTGGTATGGCAACTTGAACTGCTGTACTCACGTGCAAAGCTCTACGTTGCTGTTGATGACGTGGACCATTAGCTTTGTTGACTAATTAAAAGGTTTTCCTTCTTTCCTTAGAGCTTAGCTCATGTTCAAACCACTTCACCTATTTCCAATGAATGATATTGTCAATCATATATGATCATTCAAAAAAACGAGTTGCAATCTTTTTCAACTACATTGCTACAACCACAAAGGCACCAAAAGGCGTTGAAAATATTGAATGGTGGTGAGAAACGTGCTTAGTTCTGATCTGTAGCTAAATAGTAAACTTACTAGCGTGAAACAATCCATAATACTTCAAGGAATTGAAAGAATTTCGACTTATGAATGGTGAATCATCATTTAGATCACTAATTTTCATTGCATATCTAATTCAGTTTATTTTAACCTTTAATTTTAAGTGTAGACCAATCACAGAGACTGATACAGTGAAATGTAGTGGAGAGAAGGCTTCATAGTTAATTGCCTATATGCATTAATATACGTGTAAAAAGTAATAATCTGAAGCAATAATAAAACTTTGAAGCAGCAAAATGCTATGTTTTTATGTTGCCGAAGTCTCATGTTGATATATGCAGGCTCATTACATGCACACACAGACCAGCTGAATCAGTCAGAAAAGAAACAGTAGGCAGGCGCCTTTTGTCGTCCGAACTAATCAAAAAATTACAAAAACTCATTTATCTACGTTCTGAAGAAAAATAAGTCAGATTTTAAGCCAACAGAGTATGTCTATCTTCTCAAAGATTGATGCCGAATCCTGATCGAGCCTGCGCCAATCAGCATCTCTTACTTTCCATTTGGCCCAATATCTGAGTCTCACTGCAAATTACTTTGGAGCGTGAAAGATAAACCCTCCTTTTTGGATTCAAATTAATGAGCTGAGTTGGGGTTCGGTCACCAAAGCACTTACATTTCGTTAAAGAATACTATGGAGTATATTTATGTGCATTTATCCAAAACAAACATTTTTGTTCAAAATTTATTAACTTGAGTTTTCAAATATAAATCCAATCTTACTTTCTTACCCTAAGAATTTAATTGAAAAATAATAACAGTACCACAAACGTTGTTGAGAAGAATATCTCACCTCAAGATCTTCACATGCTAAAGGCCATAAAGTATTTCCACCAGGTTTCCAACCAATAAAAATATCCATTTTCGGTGCGTACGCTAAGCGGTCATAATTCTGACTGAAAATATTTCCTGAAGATTGATCAAATATAAACAATCCAAAAAGTAGGGACATATAGTTATGCAAAGTGATAATTATCATTTTACCACTTGGCAATTTTATAGGCTATTGAATTAAGTTTTTGTGAATGCCAAACTATCATGTTCATATAATGTGAAAATGTTTTATAAATAAGAGACGCAAAACGTATTCATCCTGGTAGTTTTATCGAGATATTTACAAACTGAAGATAATATTAACTTTACATTTGGAATCATTCGAGATTAAAGAATTCTGACCTGTTACTTGCAAAAATAGGTTTGCATTTTCTCAATTAAAATGTATAATAAAGTAAAGTTTGTTAGGACATTGGATATATAGTAAGTTATTTGTTTCTTGTTGCGAACAAAAACATTTTAAACTAAATAATTAAAACTTGCATTTTTGAAAATGCTTGATAATGTGTATCCATCCCTACTTGATAGACCAACCCTAATGCATTTCGATTTCATAAATAACACCATCCTTTGAAATTTCTTATTTCTAAATCAGTGGATTGCGTTACTCACTAATGTTATTTTAACTCGTTCTTGGATAACATAAAAGTCCCTATCTGATTGAGTCGAGAAACATTTACTCCTACTAAAAGTTCGAGGAAATTGTTGAAAGACTAGTCAATAAAATGGTGTCGAATTCTGATAGTGAAATGTAAGCTTTCTATACGTAAGCGAAACACCAAAGACATACATTAAGAAAGGAATTTAATTGAATTAAATAGCTTCAGGAAATATGTGTACACTTATTCATAAATGTCTTTGTGATTTAGAACATAAATCCTCGCTCTCAACCGATGACCTTTGTTTCATTTCATAAAAACAGAAGACAGATCTTTTCTAATGGTGTGTGCTTATCACTTGGCATATGATTGATTCGTTCAAGGTTATCAGTATTTTGTTACGCAGCTAAAAGTAAATTGTATATTTCTACTAAATCATACGATGAAAAAGTTAAATTACAATCAAAGGAAGGTGAAAAATGCCTTTTACAAAGGTATAAAGTTGCATTATCACCGTTAACTACGGAATATGAACCTTTTTTCAAGTATCTATCTCCTCAGTGTCCGTATGTTCAGTAAGTATAAAAGGCTTTTTAGATGCAATATTTTCGCAATTTAGTTTTATATCAACAATTTCGTTCTCAATAAATAAAAACTAACCGATTCTAATTGTAGGTCTAGATTTTTAAGTCATAAAAATGGAAACTGTGGTACAGCCTTAACGTGGTTTGCAAAACGATACATACTGTTCTCACTTTTCGTTAAAGGTATTTCTTTGACCAGTTTAAATTCCCTCATATCATAAAATTTTACGCTGGAGGGTGTTTTAATTACAATTCGTTCATTTTCTCTAGGTATATGAAGGACCTGTTTGAAAAGTGAATAAAATGCTTACAGAAAATAGGAGCAACTAAAAATAATCACATTTTTGATCATATAAAATACAGTTATTTGTATTTATTTTACTTTAACCAAACTAATACTTAGAAATAATATAGAGCATCTAATTTTAAGCGTTTCTGTTACATGACGTGTTTACTTTTATCTGACTGTTCCACTGAACTGTTGTCTTATAGAATGACACATGGTGACTGCTCAAAATACATAAATTCAGTATGACATATGCAATATCAGACAGACTTGTTTATATCAGCTAATTAGGATGGAAAATGTAATCCTTGGTTCAACAAAGATTCAATTAGTAATTGATTGTATATGGCTCTAAATTGCCTATATGAATGTGCTCTAGAAATATTATTATACTGAAATTAACCTTATTTTTATTCATGTCACTCGATGAAAGAGTCTTTGACAAGCGAAAAAGATTGAGGATTATCTATATATTGTCGTTTTGATTCCGTTTTCTCTAAGGATATAGATCATCAACGTAACTGAACTCTGGTTAGGTAGCATTTCTACCTGTAGAGTAATTTATTATTTTGATGCACTTTAAATCGAGAGAAAACTGAAGAGTAGTTACAATAAATTTCATGTCTGTGAACAGACACAGCAAATGAAAGTCAGTGAGTTTAGCGTATGATCAATAAAATTTTGAGTCCAGTATATAAAATTCCCAGGAATTTGAACAATTATGGAGAGACATGTTCCTTTTCCGCAGCAATTTACCTGCTCAATTATATCAGACGAAAAAGACTTCGACCTTTTAAGCAGACTATATCCAAATATTCTGTCAATATTTGAAACTACACTAGGTTGACTGAAGGTATAACATTGGATGATCTTCTCCCTAAGTAGACTCCATCTCTTCCTTGAACAAAATTAAGTTATGAGATTAAGGATACTAATTTGCTTAGTTACTTTGCTAGAATAGAAGACGTATCACCTATGTTTTTAGAGTTTAAAAAACGGTCACAATCCCTTTTACGACCAGCAGAGTTCATATTGAAAATGTGCTGGTCGCAGTTGCAACGACCTAACGTTGACAACCTTAAACTGGTGTCAACAAACAAACCAATTCAATTAGGAATTCCGTTACCTTAAATGCATACAACGGATTTCAGCACCCACTTATTATCTTACCATAATTATATGCACTGTAGCTGTGTGAAAAACAACGAAATATTAAGTTTCACAATACAGTGAATCAACTATCAGTCAACTAAGGGTATCTAAGATCCTTTTACGAGCTAGTATGTACCGATTAATTTCTTTGCAATCGATTACTGTTCCTTCGGTACGGTTCTAGGTGTTTGGTAGTGTCCAATGAGTGGAGGTCCAGTCAGTTGGCAGGTGTTTGTGAGTTTGTATGTCCCATGCTTTGAATGAACACGTTTGTTTCCGGGCAGTAGGGTTTCTCGATAACGGCAGCTATCACAATACCAGTCCATGGGTCAGTTAACTGAAGTGTGGAAAATAACAAGGAGAAAGTTCAAATATTAATAAGAAGAAGATTTCAGGACTAAATAGATAAATTAGTTTATTCATTGGTAATGAAGATTGTGCAAGAGGACCAAAGTGTATGCGAGGTGGAGGAAACAGAGATAATAGGAGAGATCGAATATGTGAGCAATCTCAGGAGCTGACAATAATAACGACTAACAGTCTCAAGGCATGCGTCAGGCACAGCTTATCCACGAGGGAGTTGATAATCCGTGTGTGAGTATGTGTTTATGAAGACCTTTCTTAGAACTGTCCACTGGGAGGGGCTGTGGTTACCTAGGCTGCGAGAGCATTCTAAGTTGAAACGACTCTTAACGAAAAAAAGTATGCACAAACCTGAGTATTCGCTATTTGATGCACACTTTTTCGAGGATTACCTCTAGGGGAGTGGTGGTGATGCATCAGTGACTTACTAATGTTGGGACGTTTTGGCGTGCTTAATATGATCACCCCTGATTCTCCTGTAACTCAGGAAGAATAATCTCAAGTGATGGAGTTTATCCTCGTAAGTTCTGTTTTTCAACTCTGTCAGCCATTTCGTCTCTCATCTTTGGTCTCGATCCAAGAGATTTATGTCTCTTTTAAGGAGAGGGATGCAAGGACGTTGTGAAACTCAGTACGTGGGCGTGAACATGTCTTTAACAGGGTTAAAAATAATTCCGGGGCGATACCAATAGTTGTTTGCACATAAATTGAAGAAACTCATTAGCCTTATCTGAGTCTCCTACACAATTTGAAGTGGTGTGGAGGCTTTCAGTTGTCACAAACTGAGGAGACATTAGGAACCGTACTTCCATTGAGGGTGTAAGTCGTTTTTGTCACGCAGAGGAGAATTTTTATAACCTGACATTTCGACTGATCTAGTTTTAACTCGTTTCCCACTGCCTATTCCTCAATGGATGTAAGGTCTTTTCACGCTCAATGGAATCCTCTTCGCTTATAATGGACCTCCAGGTCTTTACATCGTCCGGCGAGCTAACTGAGCCTAGCTGGTCGTTAACGAATATCAAGAAGAAAATTGGAACTAAATGGTCCCCTGTGAAACTCCGGATGTTGAGACTCGTCAACTCGTGTACACTTTATTTACATTAGTACGAAACCTACTATTCTCAGGGTAGTTTCAAAGCCAAGATAGGAGTGGGTAGGTGAAGCCCACTTCCGCAACCTTCGCAATTAGAAGTGCGTGGGGTACTGTGTCAAAGTCTTTTGCAAAGTCTAGAAATATTATGTGCAGAGGTATTTTTCGGTCCAAGCAGGATTTCCAACTGTCCCATGCTATGAGAAGATTAGACGCACACGACCTGTCTTTCCGAAACCCGTGTTGAGCTTCATGGAGTATTTTGTTCTGTACTCCCTCATCTGTTCGTTCACAAGCCCTTCCATTACCTTTAATAGTATCGGTAGTAATGCGACTAGCCTCTTACGGGCTGGGTCCCTCCTAACACCGTTCAAAATTGGAGAGAGTGGATTGTTTCCATTTAGCTGGGAGTTGGTGTAAATCCAGTGAATGTCTGAACAGGTTACATATCGGCTTCTGTACATTGTTTCAAGACAGGGGCGAATATCGTCATGACCTTTTGATCTTCCTGGGCGTAAGGATTTTAGTCTCCTCAGAACTAACATGATTCTGTCACCTCAGTCAGTTGGGTGTCCGTATAGCCGCTCTGCTTTTAAATGGCTATTTACATATATAGCCACTCTGCCTCCTGTTTGGTGTACCCTACCACTTCGGAAGAGTGTCTTGGCTTGCAAGCTCATTTCTTCGACTGCAATGAAAGGGGATAAACATGTTACAGTTAGGATTATGATCTTAGTATCCATTTGAGAGCATATATTTTTTCGGCCTCCCTTCTGTTGTCTCACAGATTTGGGTCGTCTTTCGCAACACCTAGTATGGTTATAAAGGTCGTCCTTCTAGTGATACCAAGTCTGAAGAGTCTTAGCTAGGTCTTCCAGATTCCTGACTTGATGGGATAGAGGTGTAACGGGCGAGGCAGCCGAGTAATGCAAATAGCCATCGTGGTGTGAAGGCCTAGGAGACGTGATAGCCACTGTTGTACATTGTGCACGTGAGCTTCATCTAAGCTACCACCATCCACCTTGAGTATGCCGTGAACTACCATAGTTGTAAGCCTGTCGTTTCCAGAAACGCCACTGTTCCTAAAAAAATGCAATCACTCAGATTACAAAGTATAAAAGTCCACAAAATAACCACCAAGTTAACTGCAACTAATGCAGCTGAATGGCTAGAGTACCGCCCATTCGACATTAAGATCTACTAAATTGCTTATCATGGACTGGACACAACCGATAGAAAAATTAACTATAACAGAGCTGGAGGTAAATGTTGTGTACGGATTTTAAGTCCCTGAGATATCGATTAGTGGAGTGGCCTTACATTCGGAGTAAATCACGTTACAAAAGACCTAGATATCCTTCATGAAAAAATGAGTCTAAATTCAGTTGGCACAGTAAGACACATGATAGTCTCTACAAGCGTACTTATTTCAGTTTTACCATGGGAAACATTAGTGAAGAGGAGTGGAACTTTTCGAACGTCTTTTTATGTCAGCCGATGGTTTTACCTGATATTTAGACGTATAGGCACTACATTCTTTGTTGTCACACGTTAAGTTAATCCATGATTATCTCTATAAACTATTCATCCGTTAAAAATATGAACAACTACAATATTTTTAGTTACACACAAAAATCCGTAGCTTCCAATTTCAAACCATAGAATGTTCACTTCAATATTCATCGCTGTCAATGTATACAATCCAGTCATCGCTGCTGACATTTTACGACATGACAGACAAGCGTTCATTTCAAGCTGGTCGACTACAGAAACAACCTTACTATGGTTGGCATCCATTGAATCTTTTCTCTGTCGAATTCAGTGGTTAAAACAAGTGCCCACGCATACAAAGACTTGTGAGATTAATTTTAAATGCTACCCAATTTTACCTAGTATATGCAAAATCTAAAAGCACGAAACATTTTGCTGTTAGTTCCGGAAGCGACCATATAATACACGGTACAGTACAAAGTTCTATTTCCCGTACTGCCAAATTAAAGAGATAAGAAAATGAGATTGAACAATATTTCAGTGATAGAAAATTACGTAATCGTATGAATGTGATATTGATTGCAACAGTCACAACGTAGACATCGTTGTAAAATCGAATAAAGCACACATAACATTACAACTGTTTCTCTGAGTAAGAATCAAGGTTTTGAACGAAAAACTGAAAAAGAAAACAAACCTTACAACTTTCAAAGACGAACAATTACCCTAATAAAACTATCATGCTAGGAAATTAGGAAGTGTATAATTAATTAACTTTCAAAACAATGCTTCCCCGCCTTTGTTTTTAATTCTTTATCACTTTCGATGTATATAGTATGACGGTTTTATGTGACAGTGGACAGATTTAAGTCAACTTCTAATAATCTTCTTCTCACAGATAAACCTTACCTCTCAATAAAGTCATAAAATCTGTGGAAGTGATACACACAGCTTCCTGTATTAGAATGAATATCATTTTTAGTCGGCGAATATATATTGAGAAGAACAATATTTTTACTAGTTACAGTAGAAGAATTGATCAAGTTGTTCAGATCAGGAGCGGTAGGTTCTGAAAGAAACTTACATCATTATTTCAGAATGTTATAGCGTTTATTTTAAAATGACTTTTTATTTGTATTTCGAACAATGGTTTGGCTCTTTAATAACCAATCTTACGAGCATTTTCTAAATGACGCTAATCAATCCAAAATAACCGTAAGGAAACATTAGGTTAGAAAACTTTGCAATTCTGTGACACTTATCTTTCACTTTGATTCACTGACAGTTTGGATGAACTTGTAGCGTGTCAAGTCGAAATTGACAAGATCACCACAACAGACCAATTAAGTGCCCGTCACAGAGAGGATAAGTTAATCTAAAGGTTATATTTGCTGGCGACTTCATGGTATCAAAAGAATACCGAAATCGTCCCAGAAACAAGGGGCAAAATTGCAAAGACAGTGGGGCCAAAATGGCAGCAAAACAAACGAAAAGTTTACGCGTACAAATTAGGAATAAACAAAGAGGCTCAGTAAAGCAATCACAAAAGCAGATGACTACAGACTCTTTATAATTCGCTACCATTACGCACAGTTTAGTAGTTAAGCTACACGTCCATTCGTCTACTTAATTAAATAACCGCAGCCTTCCCTTCGAACATTTATAGTATACAAGGATTATGTAAATAATTTGCAGTTCAGAAATTTATGTTGATGGTGCTGTATAATAAGAAAACAAAAGCTTCATGACTGAATCATCCAGATCAAATCACACGACATCTACGTATTATTATCAAAACTATAACAAAGTGAATAATTTAAACAGGGAAATTTACTGTCTAGTTTTTAAACCACATCGAGAAGCCAGTTGCCTACTATGGTTATCAGCCCCTTAGAATAAAATTTTATATTATCTTTCAAGTCAGTGAAATGGTCGATTGAGTACAGGAAGTTCTTATTCGAATGCATTCATGGTTAGTTGCAAAGAGAAAGTTTTACAATAATGTTTAAAAATCTAAGACTTTCGTCTAACTTGTTTTGTATCCTTTTTTTATTCACTTTGTATAAACCTAGAAGAAAATTCTTGAATCAGGAAATAATCGCCGTATTAATTTAAATTAGTTTGTTAATAATGTGTCATACAGAAGTCACTACGGGAGCCCAGTGTTGAACTGAAACGTATGACGCGATCGAAGTGTTCCGAAGACCAGAAGAAAATCAATATGCTTGTTTTGTAAATATGAGTCTAAAGATAAGTCGTACACATTTCGCCAGCCAACAGTCTTCTCTAAATGCACCTCTGTTTCTCCCGGTATGACTTCTTAGTTTGTTACACTAGAACCTTTCACTTCAAACACCAACGCGTTAGCTACTGATTAGCCAAGTGCTACTGGATTCGATGTCGAAAGGAACATCAATTTTAGGACGTAGATAGTTTCAGCTGACGAGTCTAAAATAGAAGAAACCCATGTCGTGTATTTCACTACCAACTATCTTCCATCGATTAAATCTCCTCTGAATAGTTCAACTATTATTTCGAGTATTATACTGATTCTACTGAGGCCATGATTCTATGCAGCTAACGAAATCCAGTGTGTAACTTTCATTTCATCCTAGACTATCAGAATATAATCACGGAAATAGCATTCAAACCGACTATATAATAGATGAGTTCAACCTTATTTTTTAAGTACAGTAAACTAATTAGTAAAATCTTTCTTCATATCGTCAAAACCTGTCAGTTATAGGAGGCAGTAGTTATGAGGTTTGAAAATAGTACAACCATTTAAGTTGGGATTTTTTATGAATAGTTCATATTGAAAAGAAATCAAGTGATGTTTCAGGTTGCATGTACCAAAAATTTAAGATATTTTTGGTCAAGGTGAAGAAACAGATTACAAGCAATATTTACACAACCAACTTATCTGAACCACGTGCTGTTAAGTAAATGGGATTTGATCCTGCTTCAGAGTAGAAATACGAAAATTGATTAGTGTTATCAATAGCAAATACATTGATTGTACAACTACATAATTTATATTGTTCTTAAATCTGATACAGCAATACAACACAAATTCATATTGCATGCTTCGAATTCGAGTTCTTCCTTGTGTCTTGTCGAAGTTATAGGTAAGTTAGGATTATTCGTATTCAGTCGAATTATTTCAAATTCACAAATAACATTCGAGGATAACTTTGGAAACAAAACGATTCGTTGTACTTTACACATCGACAATCAATTCAGATGAATATACTACTTATGGACCATTTTATTTGCAGTTAGACAGCTACAAGCAGAAAAGTGACCCAATCCTCGAGTCAGGTAGACTTATGTTTATAAAATAAACATGATTAAATGAAATAAGCGTAAACTGTTTTACTAACTACTACATAGTTATAGAAGTAAAATACTTCAATTAAAATCCACTAGTATGTGGTGCTAGTTTAAGCTTTTTGAAATAAGCATCACAGGGAGCGCTCGCTGACGATATCCTTAAATGACGATTTTAATATTACAAATCCAGATACTGTGCAATTTTCAGTATGATTACAGACATAAGTATTCAATAAAAACCTGTTTGCTAGTAAACAAAAAAAACGGTTATTAGTCGAATGTGCTATAGTTTGAAAGTGAAATGACGGACCGAAAACAATAGAAGACTCATTATGTATTTGGGTGACTGACTTTTTGGAACATTAAGGTCACGTATAAAGAGTAAAGCCATTGGGCGACTGAAGAGAACGGTAATTCAAAATAGGACAGAACACAACATGGGATTTTTTTTACCAGTTTTATTCAAATAGGGAATGCGGAAAATCAGATTCATAAAAAACACTACATACAAAACGTAAATGAAACACTTTAAACAAAACTATTCACGTTTTTAATATGCGAGAACACTGAGCACTATCAGTAGTAAACTCAAGTTTATGACAGCATTTATAAAACTGGGTTGAAGAATCAAATGATAAACGATCACACAAACAAATTTGATGAAAAGATTGATTTTCAGTAAAGCAGAAATTTCCTGCAATTTTCAAAATCCCAGTTATACTGAAAGATGTACGAGCATTAGGTGGGAAACGTTGAGATGAAACATTACGATTGCTTCTTTCTTGACGATATTTGGAATTAAGTAGGGTCATATGTAATTTAACATTATTATCTGGGCGATAAGATCCGGTACTGATTAGATTTTGTTCAGCAAGTAAACTTGTTAATTCGTTAGCGATTGTTTGTAGTCTTTGTGTATCCGGTGATTCCGCCAGCTATACGAAACAAAATGATTAAAAAAAAACAGAAATCATTGCGGGATGAACAAAATTATTTTTCATTTTAAAGAAAAGTATTATGTTAGTCAACAATTTCAGCTAATTACAATTAGCTTACAAATCAATTAGTTAGTCGGTCATATGCAACATAGTATTTCGTGTGTTGGTCGAATTCGGTATGCATTTTGTGGAGATATAATGTGGAGACTGATCTGATGCAGTTTTGTCCAAGTTTCGTGCTCTTTGACTGATTAAAAAAAGTTGATTAGTGTGGTAAAATACCGACTAGCCGGAGTAACTAAATTTCTCATAGTTAATAAAAATGACTGAACACTACTGTCATATATAATTTTAAGACTGTACGACATATTTACAAATATAGAGGAATAATAATCTATAAGATATTTCACAAAATAACATAGTGATATTCTAGTAGTACCATCCATATAACCACCCATATTTCCATTTCTAGAAATCATCTTGGAGAATTTATCATAAAAATGTATGATAACTAAGTAATAATAACAGAAACAGGACAGGAGACTTAGGTAATCATACTTGCAGCTGAGTGTGAAGTCCTAAGTGATTAACACATTCACTTATACAGTAAACAACGAAATATACTCACCTTTGCGTAAAGTACATGAACAGAAGTTGGGTCATCATTCATGTATTCAAGGTCTTTAATAGTCAGTTTGAGAGGACCGGTGGCAAATAACTGAATGCCTCTTTGAGATTTAGAGAAAGTCGTTAATGCTTCACATGCTTTTTCAACTTCTGCTTCATCAGCCAACACAAGAGTTACTAAAGTGAAATGTAACGTCGATACGGAATGAAAAATAGAACTATCCACCCCCATAAAATCATCAGAGGAGCATTTACTCGCTGCTTGTAAAATTGACTCTTGGAATGTCTGGAAATTATCTTTAACAGTTGGACAGGTGACTGGAAGGCAAATAAAGTGAGTTGGTTGACAGCGATTACGAGCATCAGATACTATCCACAGAATGCGACGACATGCATTCAAAACGTTAAATCTTGATGGCCCAGTAACAGAGACTGTTGAAGAATTAGAACCGGGATTTGGGACATCAATGCAACAACGAAATTCGTCTTCTAACATTTTTCTTTTTGAGTGTTGAACACCAATAATGAATTTGTGAAACAATGGTGGAACCTTGATTGCAGCATTGTATCCGTTATCAACAACCATAATTTTCTGATTTAGTTCAATAGTTTCTGGATCATTTTCATCTAAATATACTTCTTCAGCATCTGGAATCTCTTCAATTTGACTGATAGACGTAGGGAATGACTGAGAGAAACATTGTTTTGATGCATTCTTTCGATAATGGCGAGAGCCAATATGTATCATTTCAGGCGTCAGGACTGGATCCATTTTTACACAACACTACTAGAAATAATGGACAGGAAAACGTAAGACCATAACATAGACTTGATAAGCTAAAATAAATAAATTTCTACAAAAACTTCTTTGAATACGTTTACAAGTAGTTTGCGTAGACCGCATTTTTATAGAATGGACTAACCCAATCCCACAAACTCCAATCGTTTGTATCTCACAACTAGAGGTTTGGATTATGAAAGATCATATCATTTACCTTAGTACATAGTTGATGATAACATCTAAAGAATCATTACAGAAGTATCAGCCTTCAGAAGCTTTTTTAAAGTCTAATACAATATTTACTAGATAAAATTTAAAATACGTTAAAACGCAAAGAATACTGAAAGCAGTTTGCATTAGGATTCACTGGCGAGAGTAATTATGACATTTGCTACATGGAAAAATTGTATGTACGATAAAATTTTAAAGGTCTGGAATACGTAAGAAGCAAAAATAACAGTGTCATAATGAATCTTCAAACACCTCTATAATAAAAAGGCACTAGTTAGAAAAATGTTAATAATGCCAGTTTTTGACTCTTTCTAACGATGTAAAACTATAAAGTGCAAACTGAAAACAGGATGAATAATCAAGTCTGTAGAGCTAATAGATAACGTTTATCTAAAAACTAACCTTAAGATTTCAGAAGACGGAAAAAGGTCGGATTATATAGATAGAGTAGCTCTGTTCACGGGTCTAAAGTAAAAAGTATTGTTCAAAGTACCACACGATCTCGTATTCCATATTGTAACAACAAATTCACAACCTCGTGTATTGTACTCTAAAACAATTCTTCCCGTTTAAGTTGAACCTAACATCTATTTTTAAAAGCTATGTTATTTGACTTATTTGACTTTGCGACTAAAAAGGATAATAATATTCCGGAATGATCCAGAACCAGTCGAAATAAGAGATCGTGAATTGATATACGTAGGACACCACTAAAACTGCCCTTTAGGACTTTAGGAACTAACTCAACCTCATGAGGAATTATTATGCTAGAATTTAAAAACTTTCACAAAAGCATTACAGAATAACAAGTCTGACCTAAATGAGACATTTAACTACCCATAAATCCAAAACGAAAATCTGCAGTACAAGCTTCATTCATAATCCCGATACGTTCAATATCAGTTTCAATTTAAATCCCTATTCCTGACAATACCTGACAGTCGTATTTAAGTTTCAAGACCTTTCAAGGTCATTGCGGCCCAGCTCAAAAGATGTTCCTAAATTACGACCTTCAATAGCCAATTAATTTTTAAGGGCAGATTGACTTGCTTTTGATTTTTGTTGGTTCGGTACGGTTCTAGGTATTTTTTATTACCCAGAGAATTGAAGTCACCTGACTGCACTACTTCTAGTCATTTGGCAGTAATTTTTAAATATGTATCTCTCATGATTTGAGTGAGCTTGTCTCAGAGAAGTAGGATTTCTGGGTACTAGCAGATTTCACATAACCAGTCCGTAGATCAATTGATTGCAATATGAAGAATAAGAAGGAGAAAATTCTAGTGCTATTAAGAAGAAGATTTCAGAACCAAGTAGATAAATACATAATTTATTTTATTAATTGGTGGTCACGATTGTGCGAGAGGGACAAAGTTTATGCCGGGTAGGGGAAACAGAGATAATAATCGAAGTAGATTAAGATAGCAATCTGAGAAGATGAAAATTATAACAACTAGTAAGTCTAAAGACAGCTATCAGTCACAGATATTTCAAAAGGGATATTATAAGCAGTATGTAAGTACGTATTTATCTGATCTGAGTGTTCGCTCTTTGATGAGTATTATCTCAAGGGAAGTGGTGGTGAAGCTTTGGGATGTTTTGGCGTGCCCAAAGTGTTGTTCGCATATTCAGATCATCTCTGATTCTCCTGTAACTCAGGTGGAATAATCTCGTGGGCTGAAGTCTATCCTCCTACGTTTTATCTTCCAACTCTATCAGCCACTTCATCTCTCGCCTCTGCTCTTGATCCAAGAGATTTCAGTCTCTTTTGGGGAGATGAGTTGCGATAACGTTGCAAACCTAAAGATGTGGGCGCGCGTATGTGGTAAACAACGTTCGGAATAATTCTAGTGTGGTAACACCAAGATTCCTTCGCATAGAGTGAAGAGTTGCGTTGGCCTTCGTTGCCTCCTTTATGTAGTTTGATTTAGTCGTTACGGTTTCTGTAGTTACATGAACCAGAAATTAGGAAATGGATTGTTGTTTTGGGCACAACTTGTTTTTCGTCACCTGATGCAGACTGCTTATAACGTGACATTTCAGTTATTCTGATAATTCAGTATTGAATATAAGATATAGGTATGAACCTACGATAGTCTCCAGTGAAACTCCTGATATTGAGTCTCCTTACACACATGTACTCTATCAAGGATGATACAAAACCTATTCTCAAGGTAGTTTCTGAGCCAAGATAGAAACTGTTCAATGTCAAAGACTTTCGCAAAGTCAAGAAAGAATATGTGAACCGGTATTTTTTGGTCCCAGCAGGTTGTCCGGCTGTCCCAAACCCATGTTGGGCGTCATGGAGTGTTTTTTACTCCCCCATGTACTCTCTCATTAACTTACTCAACAGCTCTTCCGTTACTCCCCACAGTATTGGTAGTGATGCGACTGGACCGTAATAAACTGAATCATTCCTATTTCCTTCTTTATAGGTTGAAAAGATATTACTTTGTATCCATTTAGCTGGTATGAGGTGCTACTAAGGTGAATGTCTGAACAGGTCATAAACCGGTGAACTGAGGGCTTCTGTAGACTTTTTCCAAGTTAGTAGGGGACTATCCTGGGCGCACATATCTAAGTTTCCCTAGTACCAAATCAGGAGCAAGTCAGATATTACCTTGACCATGTGCTGGCACCAAGTTTGAGTAGTACTCTGAACCTGCAAGTACCCTGTTTGACTGATCGCTGAATTTGGTGTTGAAATTCTCATTCGTCTCTAGGTTGGTGAGACCTCCGCCATTCGTAACTCGGAGACAAAAACACCCTGATCGGAAGGTTTTCTATTAGTCATGAATCAAAGCTGATATTTTTGTTTGTGTTTATTTTAGCAGCCAGCCTCGTCTGGTGGTGTCTACTGTAACTTCAAATCTTGACACTGCATCTGTTTTCCAGTTCCAAGTAAAAAGTATGGTCGAAATCATTCAGAGAGATCTTTCAATTGTGCCAAACCCTCAGTTCTGCCCATGGCAAGCGTTCAGGGAGAGTTTCCTGAGGTATATTGCGCAGGACAGCATTTTGAATGATCTCTCTTATGTTTGTCATTAGTCGTCTCCTGTTAGCCTCCAGCATTCCCGTTATAATGATGCACTTATATTGTTCTCTACCATGCTCGTGTAGTTTGCCCTAGAGTGGAAAGTTTAAGTCGGTTGATACTTGAAGACCTTAATCCCAATAATGGGACGCAGTATGTGAGGAACACTTGATATTTCCCACAGAACTGGATGACCTTTATTAATTGCTTAGAACTCCAAAAACAGTTACTGGTGATAGGACAATCAATCAAGTAACTCTATAACAAACTAACTAACGGTCAATTGAAAGAATTTTAAAATATGTGCTCCTAGTTAGTTTCAGAGATCATAATTCTAGGAGAAACATGGGTATCCGTTGAGATTATGGACCATAAAATGAGTATAATTAAAATAATTTTTTTCTGATGTGATATGACCCTACTGAGAAATGACAATTAAATCTGCATTATTATCTTCTTACCTTTTACAGTAGTTTTAGATATTTAGTTCTAGTAGACAGATAAAATGAAAAGCCTGTGGATGCTGCTCTGCTACTGGTGATCTCAAAGAACTCATATTTCCTGCATCTTGTGGGTTCTTTCTTGTTCATACATTACCAAACCATCAAATTTTCATTTTCCCAACGCTTTAGCTTTTTGGCAACGTGAATAACCAAAGCGACGCAGGCTACAAAGTTTTGATTTGCTACAAGTATTACAAGGTTTAAAATACAAGTTCGGATTAAATGTTTTCTATAAACTATTCTTGCAAGAAGTAATCTGTGGTTTCTGTACGGTTCACATTTAAAAGTAAAACATCATGTTGGTTCGTAGCATCGCATGAATCAATATTGACATCTTCCTAAGTTAGACAGGAATCGCCAGCCATATGGAAGGTAAAAGAATAAATCTGGATAAGCTGCTTCTTTAGGTTAGAGTCATTTATTTCAGCAATCAAGAAGTCAAGACTTCAGATTTGTATCTGTTCGCCAAAATTCCACCTAGAGTCTTGTGTCTGAAGTTTTAGTTTAAAGTCCCTGAATGCTTGAATCGAAGCAGTAACTTTTTGGATGAACCGTGCTCCTTTTGATGTTTCGAATGTTATTACAAGAAAATGATCAATCAGTTATCTCTTGAGTTTGTAGAACGGGAGTAAAATGGGTCCCCCAGATATGCAGGGTTCTTTAAAGAGATCAGGTTTTATGTCACACTTAGTTATGAAGTTGGCTGAAGCGCAGTCTTCCTTAACGGAATGTGGCAATCACCAGGCATTAAAATACTCGGCAAGACATTGAAACTCAGATTCTATGCACAAAGTATGAATTTATATTGTATTATTGTTTCATATTTAAATACAACTTAGGACATTTACTTGTATAACGAAATTTTTTTTCTACTCATAACAGACCGTCTAATGAAAACCACACAGTTTAATCTTATTTGTTGTTCCAATAACTGTGTTGACTTAGTATGTAGTTGTTTCTGCCAATTCGATAAATAGCGCGTAACTTGACAGTTTGTTGACACTCGATACAACGTGAGTTCATGTTGATTTTTAGTGGGATGCTATTTGTGAAGATTTTCTATTTTTATAAGTTTATTCATACTCATTTTGCTGCCTTTCTGTGTATTTTGATATTTAGCTGCTTAAAACATAAAAATTATGAAATAAATATTATTCCTGAGTTTCGAGTTTGTCTTTCTAAAATCTCTATAAATATGGAAGTCATTGTTGAGTATGATTATACTGCTGAGGAAAACGATGAATTAACAATTAAAAAGGGTGATGTCATCAGAGACGTTTCTCAGTTCGAGGAAGGATGGTATATTGGATGTCTGAATGGTCGTATTGGAGTTTTTCCAGATAATTTTGTCAAGGTAAATACATCTTTTTTCATGCAACAATGTTTCAGGTTAAATCATCTGCGCAATCCAAGGTGTCGGTAAGTTTTTTATATGGATATTCTATATCTGTGACTTATTTGTAAAGGTTGTAAGTCTTATCTTCAAAAGCTTTTATCGTTTTCTGTAACACTCAATTCCACTTTAAATGGATGAATACTGAAGGGAATATGAATGTATGTGCTATCCAATGTCATGTATTTAATCGTCATTAAATGCATTCTAAATCAGATAAAGTAATGACCTATAGTTCACATTTACAAATGCTTTGCCGATATTAAAACATCAAAGCACTGATTTTCACAACATTCTTTTTCCATTTCACTTGCTTGCTGGTGATAGATAATATACTATACTTTTCATAAGTAATAACGGCTAAACAAAATACTTCACTACTGTACACTGCTTTGACCTTAGGCCTTTTCGGTATTGTATAAGGTATTGTTATGTTGGCAACAAATAATGTAAACGTTTATGCTAAAGTAAGTAAAAATTTGAAATCAAACGGCTTTTATCAGCATGATGCAGAAAATACATATGAAAACTTTTAATCGCGTCATGAAATATTTCACAATTAAAAAAATCTGTTATTGTTTATTCTGATATAAACTTCCAAACTCATTGTTTAGTGAGCGGAATAAGGCATATTTTTAAACATCATATGCTGTCATCATCAGCATCATATACTTTCAAGCACATATGTTAACTGATGCAAGTCGCTATACCTTGGATGAAATCACTGAGTTAATCCAGTCCGAAAATGGGATACGATTGTGAAACGTAAAGCCTAAAAATTTTGGCGTGATAAATCGGGTCATGATATACACCATTTTTAACTCTATAGTTATATGGACGATCATTGCACAGTATAACTGTGATCTGCTTATCGGTATTTTCTGCTTATGATTGGCATACTCGCTTATTCACGTGTGAATGGATTCATCACATGCACTACAAAAGTTCTAAGGTTTTTGTAACTATTAAGTTGACGATTATTCTATTTGAGCCGAAACAACTTTCAAGAAACATAAATGGCCATCTTACCCAACCACTTCTTGCCATCCGATTAAGTGTGAAACTGGAACAACCATCAGCCGCAATGATTTAACTTGACTTTAAAGTTCACTTCAAAGATTATACTTTAAAAATACCACTCTATTCATGTGACTGAACTCTGTAGTAGTCTAATGAATAGTAGGTAAATTCGCATCCAAATTCAACTACCGTTGGTCATTCCATGCTTGTTACTCAGGAAAGCCAGCTAGGTATATACTCAAAGAATCTAAGATCTTGAAAATCACAATATTTTCACCTTTCCAGTAGTGATTACTACAAGGGCATTACTTTTATTCTCTATAAACTGGAAAAATAAACAGTGGTTTGTAATGAACAAACATCCTAGTTTTAAAACTGGTATAACTATAGTGCCAAACACCGAGTTACCCACAAATCGTAATACTGACATGCATTTACAGTATTTTCTCGAAGAATTATTCAATACAGAAATTCTTGGATTATTATAGCATACTAATTCATCATATGAATATATTTGGAGATTATCTAAATGATCGTAGACCAAAATATTGGAGTGCCACGATTTCATTTGTGTTCGCAAAATGGTATAATGCTCGATTAAACTGGTTTTCATCTTTCCTATCTTTTATGTCAATGTATTATTATTGGCTCATATTTAGCACGTAACCTTAATGATTTCACATGAAGATTACGTGCTAAATATGAGCCGATCATAATACATTGACATAAGAAATATATTATCATAAGACACACTCAAATTTTCTGATTGATTTATCACAGTCATCATCAAATAATGGAGCAATACCAAAATTATTCTGCTGACTATTTGTTGACAGAAAATCAAACAGTCGCTAAAAGAAAATACTGAGTTCACATTTTATTTACATGGTATCGAAACCATATGACAAAAATACGTGTACGCTTCTCATGGTTAATCTTTTAAGTTGAAAATGTGGCATACAGTTTTGTCATAGTCATTTACTAAGACCATAAAATATATCACTCATATGACGCTACATCGTTGACTTATGAATCACCCAAACATTATACTTTAAAATGTCATTTTATGTGCCAATGATTTGTTTATTATCTCTAGGGGGTTAGCTAAGTCATTGAAAGAGCGGATTTCCTGTATTGATCAGTTGGGTTTTTTAAAGGTGTCAACACCTTTGGAGGTGATTTAAAATTAAGACTGAAATAGAAATACTTCCCAGTTAAAACTCTAAATCATAATACCCGTAACTAGATTTCATATGCTAATCAACTGAAATTGTTTCGCAGCAAGTAATGTTCTAATCAGGTCAAATAATCGGACTTCTCACTAGTATTTATTTATCCAAACACACAAACGTTGGTACAAAGAAGTCCCTAAATATTTATGCGCCACAGAAATCATTTAACTTTGTGTGGGCCTGTATAATTTATAGGTGTTCAAAGTGGAACAAGTGATTTTCTTATGGCGCCATTCCCAAAGCCGTTGACTCAGCATCCTAACCCAAAAGAGAGTGGAGCAATTTCAGGAGGTGCAATCCCATGTTAACCGGTGACGAACAATAGGTTTATACTCCATTCGTCCCCTTAGGATTCTGAGGTCGATGTGCACAATTGGTTTGTAATGAAGGTTTTCCATCTCCCCTAGATGAAACCTACGTAACCACCAACCCAATTAAAGTTACCGGGCACTCGATTTTCACCCTCTCAGTTTCTGTAAACAACGCTCTTTCCACAAGAAAGAATTGAGCTGAGCTTCCATGGCAGCGGCTATACATCTGTGGTCATAATAGAGCATTTGGAGAAGGGTAGCGGACTCGCCCGTCTTTTAGTCGAACCAAGGCATTTGTTAGCGTTTCTCATTAGACTAATAATTAACAATATACAACAAATATTGCATGTTTTCTGCCTTAATAATTGAACATTTAGCACCAACTTAATATTGAATCAATCTTCTGAATAAAAGAATGATAGAATGCATATATTACAATCCACTAGGATTGAAATTTCATCATGTATATATATTTACTACATTCTTACGTTTATTGTTATTCACAAAGCATAAAATTAGTTGTACATTATTAGCATAAAAGCCTTTTGTTTCAAATGTTATACATTTATCCTACTATCATATTGAATGAAATTATATGTGTGACACGAACATGTTTTTTGGAATTATTGTTCTTGGAATATAGACCCTAGGAATGATTTGTAAAACATTTAAAAGATAAAATATTTCACATTATGTTAGTATTTTTTTAGTCATTGAATTATATATGTGATGTAATCTAATATTCATTAGAAATTATCTAGTTTATGTGAAATGTAGTAGAACAAATATAATTAAAAACAAGAGAAATACTGTCGATTTGTGTTTTGTCGATTCAATATTCACTGAAGTGAACCTTGAAACTGAATCGCTTATGAACTTTAACATTGTGCATAACAAAATGAGTTTATTTGTATTCAGTGATTAACTTCGTGTACAAAGTTTCACTTGATATTCTAAAATTGAAAGAAAAAATTCATTCTCTTATATGATTGCATATGTTGTTGTCGTGTTTTGTTCTCTGGGCTGGATGTTTCTGTTGTGGAGCTTTCATTGTTCTTCTGAACAACATCATCAGCACAAATTTCAAATAGAAGTGAACGTACATATATATATATATATATATATATATATATATATATATATATATATATATATATATATATATAGTGAACGAGAACAGGTGGGGCAACCGAATTGTAATTAACGAAAATTACAGAGTTACTCAGTAAAATCGGAAAACCATATCGTAAATCGTTCATTTGCAAAATATCAGTCCATCATATCGAACTGGACTGTTCCTGTTGCAAAACATCAATCGATTGTCACTATTCATGCGTTTCATACAAATTCCATTGTGTTCTAACTCTTCCTTTCTTGATCTTCCCCCATGTTCTGCTGCCAGACATTACGTTGACACTCACGTCATATACTACTTATAAGTAGCTCACACCACATTATATATATATATATATATATATATATATGTAACACTGATAGCTTCATGATTTCAATGATACTCAACTATCTCCACAACCTTATACTGATTAATTAATCCTATTTTGTAACTTGACGATTCACAATCTAAGTGAAAATGTTGAAACATTTCAATTAAATTGAATTTATAACACCACTATATAAATAGAATTTATCAAACTTGAAATATTATTAAATTAAAAAAAATATTTTATATTGTATATGAATCAGCAAGTAGTCTGCGGGTTGTAACCTACATCTGACCATGATATTTATTCTGCTTGCTATCATCACATTAGACGTATAAGTATGAACATGATAAATATTGATTGATTCATCATTCTGTGCTTAGAAAAATAATTCTATGTGTAACAACAACAACAACGTAATAATTTAAGAAAAATTTTTTTGCTGAAATAATAACAAGAAGAAACTAGTATTGAGTTAGATAATAAATGTTATATTATCTTCATATATTCATCAAATCATACACCATAAAATTGTAAATCAAACAAATGTTGTATTTCAATACATTTATTAATTCATTGTCTGAGTTTGAATTTATTTTTGAAAAAAATAAATTTTTGATAAATGTCAAACGGTGTTACACATTCTTTTTAACTAAATACATTCAAAAGATGAATATTTCTCTCTTCAAATCAAATAGTATACTTTGTATGTACGACCACAGTCTACTACTGAAAAGCTTTATTGAAACTGGATAAGATTAATAATTATACTAATAAAATGATTATAATTTTTTGGTGATATCCCAAATAGTAGACATTTTTGTATTTCCGACGTTGCAAAATTTAGTGCAAGTCAATTTTTTAGAGCAAATGAATATATATATATATATATATATATATATATATATATATATATTTAAATAATTACAAAATTTGATTATCTAATTATGGGCTCTGAAAAAGCGACTGAGTGCTGAAACGTCTGAAATATAAATGTCTACTCTTTGCGATATCGTCAAAA